CTCCTACCGCGGGACCGCGACGCAGTCGTAACAGCAGCTGCAGTCGCGTCAGTAGCGGCAGTGGCAAGTGAGGCAGTAAAGGTGGGTAACTGCGGGACTGTGCACCCGTGGAAGAGTGGGGGGGGCACAGCACCAGAGGCAGCGGCTACCGAGCGAAGGTTGCTCTCGACGTCCTTGAGTGCAGACTCAAGGACCTCGACGGTGAGCTCACTAGGGTGCTTCAGCAGAAGCGCGTCGCGAACGGAGGCAAGGCGGTCAGGGAGGCTAGTGGCGATGAAATAGATAGTAATCGCCATAGGGGGAGGAAGCAGTGCAAGCTGTGCCTCAGTGCAAGCAGCGCGGTAACTAGCGTCGAGCGAGCGGAGGTGAGCGATCAAGTCAGCAGAGCGCTCAAAAGACGCCAGGTCAGGAAACAGGAATGGGAGGAACAGGCGGCCAAGAGAGACAGCAGCGGGAGTAGAGTAGCGGGCCTTAATCGCAGTGAGGTACGCAGCAGCGGTGCGAACCTGAGTGAAGTGAACCTCCTCAGACTCAGGGAGGAGGCTGCTGAGCGCGATGCAGGCCGCAGCGTCACGTGACGTCCAAGCCGTCTGGTCAGCTCGCTGAGTGGCAAAGCGGGCTCTAGCGGCGTCGTCAGGGGCAGGTCCTAAAGGCGTAGGGTCGGGGGGCGCAGGTAGGGCACCAGTAGCGTGCGCCCAGAGGGTCTCGCCTGCCTGGACCTGACTCTCTAACAGACGGCGAGCACGAAGAAGCCAGACGGAAAAATCAAGAGGTCTACCGTCAGCGTCGAAACGAAGGACACGCTGAGTCGCCATAGTGAAAACGAACGCGAACGGAGAGGGAGGGGACAGCAGTAGGTGAGAGGCAAATTAGGGTTCGGCGGTACTCTGGGACAGGGGAGGAGCGGACGCCACAGCGGGCGTGACAGCGGGAGGTAACAGGGGACTAAGCAGCGGGGAACGGGAACGGGCGCAGCGGCGGGCGATGGCAGCGCGCTCGGCAGCAGGGGCCAGCAGCGCGCGCAGCGGGCGACGGCAGGGGGGGGGGGGGGGCGCAGCGGCAACGCGCGCAGCGGCGGGCGACGGCTGCAGGCCCGGCGGCGATAGTGGCGGGCGCTTCGGGACGGGCGACGCGACGGGGGGAGAGGGCGGGAGCGACGGGACAGGGGGAGGGCGACGTGACGGGGGGAAAGGGGCGGGTGCGACGGGACAGGGGGAAGGCGACACGACGGGGGGAAAGGGGCGGGTGCGACGGGACAGGGGGAAGGCGACGTGACGGGGGGAAAGGGGCGGGTGCGACGGGACAGGGGGAAGGCGACACGACGGGGGGAAAGGGGGGGCGCGACGGGACAGGGGGAAGGCGACACGACGGGGGGAAGGCGCGGACGCGACGCGACGGGGGGAGCGCGACGCGACAGGGGGAAAGGGACGGGCGCGTCTCGAGGGGGGGGAAGGCGACGCGACGGGGGGGCGGTAACAGCTGGAACGATACGAACGAGAGCGTGGCTCGGCGCTAGGCTCGGTAACAACGAGAAGGAGACGAACGAGAGCTAGGATCAGGCTCGGGTGGTACGAACGGAGAACGGCGGAACGGGATCCCACAGGATCCTAACCTAACTGATACCCTCACTATAGGCTACAACATTTGACAATTACAAGCAGCTTCGCTTTCAAAATACACATTTTTAGAAAGTGTTACACACTTTCAAAAAACTTCATATTTAGAAAGCTTGCTTTCTTGTGTTTGCAATGGCAACGTGCTTCGTTTCAAATGGGTCTTCTGAGATATGCGACGGGAGTTGTTGATCGTTTGCGAGATGACATGTGGGTGGTGGTCCGCTCGCACACGGAGCGGATGCTTGTACCGATGTTGCTGGTGATGATGTTAATCTCTGTCGTTGCATTGGATGGGGTGTCGCGCCAAGTGTAGCACAGGCGTGTTGATCAATGGGAGATGGCTGATACGTAGGCTTCTTACACGAACCCGCAACAATATGGAAGGACTCGGGCAGCGGACGTTGGTACGGTATGTTGTGTTGATGATGGGTGTGAGCTTGTACCGTACAAGTTGTACGGAATGAGCCCGACCCTTGTGGTCACAATCGTGCTCGTATCACAAAGAGTACATGAAACTTTCTGGTATCCAGATGAATCTGCCGGCGTTTAAGCCCTGCGTGGTTATTTATTTATTATTATTCTTCTTTTATTTTTCCCAATGAGTATAGGTATGATCTGCTAGAGTTGTGCACCATTTCAGACTCACCACGTTTGTTCAATCAACCAACTCAAGTGTGACCGCATCCCAACCTTGCACTGTAAGGGCTCATCATAAGGTAATTGCAAAGTATTACAAAGACTGCACAACCATTAATCTACCTTACAAATGACCCACAGACCAAAAAGGACCCACCAGCCCTCTTCCCCCTTGGGGAGCTCGCTGGCCAGCACCGCACAGGACCCACCGGTCCTCCTCCCCCCTGGGGAGCTCGCTGGCCAGCACCGCACAGGACCCACCGGTCCTCCTCCCCCCTGGGGAGCTCGCTGGCCAGCACCGCACAGGACCCACCGGTCCTCCTCCCCCCTGGGGAGCTCGCTGGCCAGCACCGCACAGGACCCACCGGTCCTCCTCCCCCCTGGGGAGCTCGCTGGCCAGCACCGCACAGGACCCACCGGTCCTCCTCCCCCCTGGGGAGCTCGCTGGCCAGCACCGCACAGGACCCACCGGTCCTCCTCCCCCCTGGGGAGCTCGCTGGCCAGCACCGCACAGGACCCACCGGTCCTCCTCCCCCCTGGGGAGCTCGCTGGCCAGCACCGCACAGGACCCACCGGTCCTCCTCCCCCCTGGGGAGCTCGCTGGCCAGCACCGCACAGGACCCACCGGTCCTCCTCCCCCCTGGGGAGCTCGCTGGCCAGCACCGCACAGGACCCACCGGTCCTCCTCCCCCCTGGGGAGCTCGCTGGCCAGCACCGCACAGGACCCACCGGTCCTCCTCCCCCCTGGGGAGCTCGCTGGCCAGCACCGCACAGGACCCACCGGTCCTCCTCCCCCCTGGGGAGCTCGCTGGCCAGCACCGCACAGGACCCACCGGTCCTCCTCCCCCCTGGGGAGCTCGCTGGCCAGCACCGCACAGGACCCACCGGTCCTCCTCCCCCCTGGGGAGCTCGCTGGCCAGCACAGGACCCACCGGTCCTCCTCCCCCCTGGGGAGCTCGCTGGCCTGCACCGCACAGGACCCACGAGTCCTTTTCTGGCTCGCTCGGGACCCCCCGGGGGTGTCCCAATCTCCCACGGGAGCGCACAGAGTTGTACCAGTTGTTTGCCGTAGTTTCTCTTGGCAGATGGTCTCTGAAGGCGACGCAACGCTGTGGTAGTTGCCTCGCACCAATTTACTGCGACCAAAAATTAAGAAATAACACGACTGAAAACGAAGACAAGCCAAAAACCGAACATACGTATAAAGGAAAAAAAAAATGAAGGGAACATTTGCGAAGTAACAGGTGTTCCATAGACGAATTTCAGCAACAAAAGCGCATCTGCCATGCCAGTTCGTTTCTGGCGCGCCACTGGCGATTTCGTAGCCACATGCGCCAGAGGCAATCTTGACCATTTCGGCGCCATGAGCGCCCCTGGCGCCAATTGCGCCGTTGGCGATTTCACCACGCGCGCCTGTGGCCATCTCGTCGCCACGCGCGCCTGTGGCGATCTCGTCGCCACGCGCGCCTGTGGCGATCTCGTCGCCACGCGCGCCTGTGGCGATTTCGTCGCCACGCTCGCCCGTGGCGATTTCGTCGCCACACGCGCCCGTGGCGATTTCGTCACCACGCGCGCCTGTGCCGCTGTCGCCCTATTAGCCCCAACATGCGCACCTATTGCTAAGTCAACCGAGCTTGCCAACTATTTCTTGAGAAAAGTAAGGGACTGCGAGAAGCACCAGGTAGTCGGACGAGAATGAAATAATGCAGTTGAAATTTCAAATGAAGACGTGGGTGGAGGCCAAATGGCCTCCACCCCCTGCTATATAGTTGGCGAAGAGCGTCTAGCACTTCGCGGTTGCCATTGCTGCATTACAAGCAGCTTCGCTTTCAAAATACACATTTTTAGAAAGTGTTACACACTTTCAAAAAACTTCATGTTGATGCTGCGAGAATATGCGTACTGCTTATGCACAAATCCCCCTACCCGTTAAGAAACTGTTTTCCAGCCAATTAGACAAAACTTCTATATGCTTAGAATAGAATGTTGATGTAGCCCAGCTACGGTTGCTTATGATTTTGTACCAGGTTCGAAGCCCGCAGGCGCCCCGGTCTGAAGGCTCGCCGGCTTGACTAGAATATTGATTAAAAAACAAAAAAAAACGTAACTCATGATAGTATCATATAGCGTTCCTTCTTGTGCATTGGTTGATTCTGCACCTTCTAAAGTACCATGCCGTAAGTTAGAATACCAGATGTATTATAGCATTTCTAAACGCAATCTCAACTTGATGACGTAACACCCTTCGCTACTTCGGCTTCAAGCGCAGCTTGCTACAATCCGGTATGACGAGATTTCAAGCCATATGTCATGTCCTGCCCTGACAAGCACCAGATGCTCCCAGAAGACAGCACTATCTACCACCGCCATGCACGCTCCTTTCGGCCTCCCCGCGACGTGGCAACGGCATCACTCGAGCCGCATGTCGTGGCGTTGGAAATCACGAAGCGCGTGGAGCGCATCATGTTACGCGCTCGCCCCATTCTATCCCGCTTCCCGAAGTGGCCTCCCTTCCTGTCCCTCAACTCACCCATCCCACTTCCCTCCAGCGTTTCACGTTGATAGATTCGTTACGGGTGACATCATATCACCTGTGTTATCTTTGCTTATCCTCCTGCTCGCTCCTCGCGACCTTCCCGTGACGTAACGCTCAGCAAAACTTTCATTGGAACCCCGCGCAGCCACACCCCAAGTTGTCGCTCGGTTTCTTTCGCAGAGTCTTTATTCGTGGGACTTTCTTGAACAGGCATGATGTTTTTCACGTGGTATGGCCTCGTGTTCATCACCGTCCTCTTCATCCTCCTCTCCCCGGGGATGCTCCTTCAGGTAATCTTCATTTCATGACAATTCAAACCCTAGATTGTCTCAGGTTCGCCCTGGGTTGCTTCAGGCTCGTTATGGGCTGCTTCAATTTCGCTGTAGGTGTGGTCGATCAGACGTGCTCTGATTTTTCTTAGCATGGTGTCTAGATATATTTGATATGAAGGCCAGAGTGAGCCAGCCATCGAATGAAATTGATGTGCGTACTTGCACCACTTGCGCCTGGAGTTTCTTGTGAGTTTTCCCTCTCTCCGCTCAACCCGCCCCCCTTCACCCCTCTCCCTTCCCTCTCCATTGTTAACCTTTTCCCGCAGATCCCAGGGGACAACCAGCCAGTGGAGTTTCAGAACTGGCGAACCTCTCTGCCCTCAGTGGTAGTGCACGCTGTGGTCTTCCTCGCCCTCCTTTTGCTCTCCAACTGGCTCTTCCCTGCGTTTCTACACGGGTAGATGAGGGGAAGTGGGCCTTGGAAGCTCTCAGTTGCACCGAGCCATGTATAGATGAGAATGGCAATGGCTAGACTCCTGCTGGATGGTCTATAGGTCGGGTGTGTGTACAGAGGTCTTGTTCTGGGAAAATAGAACATTCGTTTGTATATACATGTTGTGTTACGTGTATGTACATGTAATGTTGAGAGTGTTTTTGGGTGTTCATTTGGCTCACTGTGAGCGTGGTTCAGGAGTTGTGTGGTTCTTGGTCGCAATCTCAACAACAGAAATGATGAAAGGGTCATTCCTAACGACCCAATGCATTCATTCGCCCATGTTGACAACAGCACAAATGTGAAGAAGCTGTTCTAGCAACATTCAATCGGGTACAGTGCACAAGCTGCATACAACTGTGAGGATTTTGATTGAGCATATGTTACCGTAGCTGGAACTGAGTAAGAGATGTCAGCACACTACTCCACACCACACGCAACGCAACAGGGCCTTCCAAACCAACATGGCTAGGGGCTTGGTGTCAGAAACAGGAAGGAAGAGAGATAACGGGTTTGGTTAAGGAGAAGGGAGACTGCGGACTGCTGAAACATGACCTCTCACTTTCTCACTTCCAGCAACACTCCCACATGAACACTCAGGGTCTTCTCTCCTCCCCTTGGCCCGCCACCCCACCAACGCTCACACTCATCTTAGGCAGCACCGGGAATTGCTGGTGCCGCGGCTTCCAGGAAGCGGGCCACTCCCTCGGCTTCCCAGCAACATTTCCAGCGAACCTCAAGGTCTTCTCTCCTCTCCTTGGCTCGCCACCCCACCGGCACTCAGGCTCATCTTTGGCAGCACCGGGAATTGCTGGTGCCGCGGCTTCCAGGAAGCGGGCCACTCGCGTGAGCTGTGCCGCTGCTGCTCTGATGCAGTCGTCGCATATTGATCAAGAAGCATTCCAGTGCAGGGGTCGTGGAGAACAGCGTGAGGGGCGTGAAACACAGCGTGGGAGTTGTGGAGAGTAGTGGGGGGGTTGTGAAGGGCTGTGGTATCGTGGAGGATGGTGTAGGGATCGTGAAGCAGACTCATGCTCCACAGCACCTCCTCTGTCATCCACCCCCGCCCCTTGTGTGGCAGTATCTTGGAGGATGGGGAGACGAACCCCGCTACGGGACGAGGCGTGCCGCCCATGACAGCCTTTTCGAAGTACTCAAAATCAGAGTCGTAGTGCGGATTTTGGCGCAGCGTGGTGGTGGTGGTGGTGCTGCTGCTGCTGCTGCTGCTGCTGCCGCTGATGCTGCTGCTTAAGCTGCCACTTTCTCTTGAGCTGCTTCCGCCTTCCCTCGCCTCATCCTCTGCTGCCCTGTCACAACCCACTTCTTTGCCTAATTCACCCCCACCCCCATTCCCATTCCCGCTTCCATTCCCACTCCCAGCATCTGCATTTTCAACCCCATCCCCACTACCCACAAACGCCCTTTCTCTGCTCCCTCTGCCATCCTCCACTGCTCCACCACCATTCACCACGGACGATTGTTCAGCTGTGGTCAATGGAGTTTGGGCCTCCTCAACTGTCCGCCCAGCCACACATCCCTCATTATTATCGCGCCCCCCATTCTTCTCACATCCCTCGTTTTTATCACGCTCCCCATTCTTCTCACATTTCTCGTTACTATCCCCACTCCTGCTAGCACATCCGTTCTCTGCCCCTCTCCCTCCAATCCCTCCACTCAGCACTGAACCTCTTCCCTGCTCCGGGCAGCTCAAAAGATTTGCATCCTGCCCTAGATACGTCAGACCCTGTTTCCTAACCGCCTGCATTTGAGCCTCTATCTCTGCTTGGGTTCTCCCCATCACATATCTCCCCCCTCCCCCTCCCCCCTCCCCTCCTGCCCCTCCTTTCCCTCCCTCTGCTGCTGCTGCTGCATCGGCAGCATCAAGGGCGGCTAGTAACTCTGGGGGTTCCCTCCCTTGCAGAACGGGAGTAGGGGCAGATTGTGGCAATGGTGGTTGTGGTGGTTGTGGCAGCGGTGGTAGTTGGAGTGTTGGTTGTGCCAGTGATGGTAGTGGCAGTGGTGACAAAAACAAGTGTGACGCTAGTGGTTGTGACTGTACACGCGACTCTGGCAGTGGGAGTGACTGTGGCTGCCATTGCTGTTGCTGCCACTGTTGTTCTGACCGTGCTTGTGCTTGCCGCTGCTGCTGCTGCTGCTGCTGTTGCTCCTGCTGTGAAAAATGTTGTGACTGTTGTTGCTGCTGCTGTTGCTGTTGCTGTTGTGTCTCCTCCACTACTGAGTCTTCTTGCCCTTCGTTTCTTGCCACTGATTCGCCCGCCACCTGCTGTGGCTGCGGCAGTTGTTCCGACTGTTGCTGTTGCTGCTGCCTCTGTGCCTCCTCCACTACTGAGTCTTCCTGTCCTTCTTGCACTTCGTTTCTTGCCACGGATTCGCCCGTCCCCTGCAATCCCTGCTCACAGGACCCACCTTCCCCAAATGCCACCTCGCCTCCTGCAGATACCACCTCCCCACCACCAGCAGATGCCACCTCCCTGACTGCAGATGCCACCTCCCCACCACCAGCAGATGCCACCTCCCCCAGGCGTTCGTACTTAATTATCTGGGCGGCAGCTGCAAGGGCCTGCTTGGCCATCAGCGGGTGGCACTCCCGCCCCCGCCAGCAGTACACTTTTGTCCGTATCTGACGGTGAGATAAGATGGGGGAGGAGGACGAGGAGGGGAAAGGGTGGGGACAAGGAGCGGAGAAAGGAGGGAGAGGGGACGGGGAGAGGGATAAAGAAAGGTAACAAGAGAAGGGCGCTTCGCTCCCTGTCAGCAGCACATCACAGGTTGGTGGGGGCGGAGAGTTGATAGGTAAGTAATTTATTTTCTGGAGCATCTCGAAACAGCAATACCTCGAGGACTCTTCTTTGAGAAGAGCTGAGAGACAGTTACCTGCACAATGAAGGCGCCTCATATATAGACATCTCGAAAAGCTAATCAGCTTCTAAAATAAGGAATTTAAGCAGCACTCACCTGCACAATGAAGGCCCCTCGTGGGTCGAGCGAGTGGCGGGAGAGGGCGGTGATTTTTGGCACCAAGTGCAGCGCATCGTACGGCGAGTGCGGTGCCATGCGGTACATGTGACAGCTGCCCGCCGCCCCTGATGCTTCCTCCGCCGCCCCTGATGCCTCTCCTAACGCCTCTGCCGCCCCTGGTGCCTCTGCTGCCCCTGATGCTTCTGCTGCCCCTGATGCTTCTGCTGCCCCTGATGCTTCTGCTGCCCCTGATGCTTCTGCTGCCCCTGATGCTTCTGCTGCCCCTGATGCTTCTGCTGCCCCTGATGGTACCTGTGGTGCCAACCCTAACGCCCCTGCCGCCCCTAACGCCCCTGCTGCCGTCCCTGATGCTACCTGTGGTGCCGCCCCTGACGCCTCTGCTACTCCTGACGCCTCTGCTACTCCTGACGCCTCTGCTACTCCTGACGCCTCTGCTGCCCCTAACGCCTCTGCTGCCCCTGATGCCACCCTTGGTGTCGGATCTGATGCTACGGCTACCCCTGATGCCAGTGCTGGTTCTGCTACTGACGAAGAAGCAGCACGAGCAGCAGGGGGAAGAGCGGTGGGTTGAGGTGTGGGGGGCGGATCCAGGGCGGAGGGGGGGAGGATGCGCGTCTGCCACTGCAGCAGCTGGCAGGCGAACCCCATGTTGGGGTTGGCAACTGCCCTCAAGGCCTTCACTCTCTTGAATGCGTCTCCAAAAGGAATGCCCTGTGGGGACGGAAGGGGGTGGACGGGGTTGGAAGGGTTTGAGAGCGGTGGGTTGGCTACAGCCCTCAGCCCCTTCACCCTCCAGGTCTAATGAGATGATTTATTATCTAACTAAAAAATCGTGTAATATTCTGTGAAGGTGGGGAGATATGGTGAGGGTGACATGACATGACATACAGCACCCAGTGCAACCCAACCCAACCACACTCGAGTCCCCTAAGCGCACCTCGCGCCACATGAGGTATGCAATCACAAGGGACGTGGAGCGAGAGATGCCTTGGCAGCAGTGGATGAACACGCGTCCCTGTGGAGGGTGATATGCAGCAACCAATGCAACCCAAGCACACGTGCAGTGCACCACACTCCCCAAAACGCACCTCGCGCCACATGAGGTATGCAATGACGAGGGAGGTGGAGCGCGAGATGCCCTGGCAGCAGTGGATGAACACCCGTCCCTTGGCCGCCCGCACGGCCTCAATGTAGTCAAACACGTCGTATAAGACGCACACGAGATCCTCGCCCGTGTTGTCCTGGGGGAGACGGGAAGGGTGCAGAGGGATGGAGATGGGTGGAGCGAGGAAAGGGAAAGGTGGGGGGTTGTGCAGTAACTAGCTGCCACCCGCCCGCCACCCGCACGGACTCAATGTAGTCAAACACATCGAATAAGACGCACACCAGGTCCTCGCCCGTGTTGTCCTGAGGGAGAGGGGTGCGGAGGGATGGAGATGGGTGGAGAGGAGAAAGTGAGAGGTGCGTTGATGTGCAGTGATCAACCCCTTCACCCAGCCGCACGGGCCACGGCCTTGATGTAGTAAAAAACGTCATATAAGACGCACACCAGGTCCTCGCCCGTGTTGTCCTGAGTACAGGGAACGGGAGGGGAGAGGGTGTGGGGGGGTGGGGGGGGGAAGGGGGGACGATAGGTGTGTGTGTGGGGAGGGGTGCATGCACACATGTATACACAATGTAGCATCGCCTCACCTGCAGCCAGAGCGTCTTGTACTTGATCTCCTCTGGAAAATACTCAGGGCACACAAACCCCACGCAGTTCAGCACATGCGTGATCCCAGCCTCCTTAAGAACCTCCCTGCTTCTCGCTACAAAGTCGCTCCCCACGTAAACATGCTCCAGCACTCTGCTACAGTCCTTTTCGAAAAACGCGAATTTATCCCGCCTGGCTTGCGCCTCCTGCGCCTCCCGCGCGAAATCCCGCTCCCCCCTGCTCCGCTGAAGCGCGCCCATGTCTAGTTTAAACCCGCCCGGGCCCCTCCCGGGCCTGTTCAGCCCCAGCACCTCGCGCCTGCTCGCCAAGCCTCTTCCCGAGCCTGCAGCAGCGGTTCGGCGATTAATCAGGGACAGCCCCGCGGGGTTTTCGCCGCTGCTCGCGCTTCTCCGCGCGCCCATTCGGCGGGGGTTCGCCAGGGCGAGCGGGGGGGCGGGGGAGGCCTGCAGGGTGTCTAGAGACGCGCGCCCGGGGAGAACGAGACCGTTCCGCGCAGGCGGAGCAGGCGCGGGGGCGCAGGCGGAAGCGGAGGCGGAATCCGAGGCGGAAGAAGAGGGTTTGAGGGCGGAAGAAGGGGAGTCGGCGGAAGGTTCAGGTATCAGGGTAGATCCATTTCCGCAACTCTCTGTGTGCCTGGGGCTTCCGCGGTCAGTATAATCACATGTGACTATAGGCCTTTGGGACTTTAACGGAGTAACTGGAGTAACATCTGACAAGTGGTTACTCGGGTTAGGGTTACGCAGCGTCGTTGCTACTGGGTCAAGGGTAGGTGGGTTAGGGTCACTCGCGTTACTACGAGCTACGGAGTCCCCTTCTTTTTGCTCGGGCTTGCCTGCTGCGATAAAAGCAGCATCGGTACGGGAAGCGGGAACTGCTGCTGAATCAGCGAGAACAGCAGCAGCAGGACCAGCAGCAGGAGCAGGAAAAGCATCAGTAGCAGCAACGGCAGCAGCAGCGGCAGCAGCCATAGCAGCGTTAGTATCAGCGGCATTAGTAGCAGCAGCGTCGTCCCCGGGGGTACATTCAGAGATGATGGCCATTGCTTCAGGCGAACTGCACGGCTCGCATGTTTCGCCACCGGCCGCGAAACCCGGTGCTCCTCCCGCGTGTCCTGCCGCGTGTCCTGCCGCGTATCCTGCCGCATATCCTGCCAAGTGTCCTGCCACGTGTCCTGCCGCGTGTCCTGCCACGTGTCCTGCCACGCGTTGCCTTGAGCTGGGTTCTCGGAAGGAATCTCTTCCATTGAACGATGCCGACTTCAGTCGCATCTTGGGATTTGCCACGTAACCACCACCCCCTACGTCGCCGTCTGTCATGCTCAACGAGATACGAACGCTAGCTGGTCCGTCTCCCGTCTCCCTTTCCGGATGTAGCGCCATTTCCGCGGAGATGCTCGACGAGATACTAGAAAGGTTAGCCGGTCCTCCTCGCGACTCCCTTTCCGAATGTACCGCCATTTCCGACGACATTATCGAGGCGAACAGGACCTGCGCTTCCTAATGTGGGGTCTATAAGTGTTTAATGCAGTTGTAACGAATCCCGCACAAACGGGAGCAGGAAGGAAAATCAGCGCAGATCAACGGCTGCGAGCAGCCGGCGAAAAACACAGAAATGCTGGTGTTTATAGCTGTTAGCTGCTGCAAGAAATTTCTAAGAAATGTAGCTGACCCTAACGTTATGAGAAACCACGTGACGGGCGACCCTAAGACAATATGACACAATGTGCGCAGGCGATTTTCTGGGGATTACAGAATGGACGAGACGGGAGAGATCGCGTTCACCAAGTAAGCATCTGAGCGAACAAATTAGTGACGGAAAATGGAAGTAGCATGCTAAGCTAGCGATATTGACAACCTTGAACATAGGAGGTAAGAAACTGGGTCAAGAGAACTTTTAGTCAGGAAACTGGGTCACAGAACCTACCCTGTTGTCAGTGTGAGATAAATAGGGAGGAAGCAAAGCACGGCATAATTTACTTCAATTACGACCACGGTCGTGGACGGTGATGTACGTTTCTACGTGGTTCACCGTCCAAACAGACCCCTACATACAGCCACGGCGACGAGTTGGGTTGTGCTATCTGTCGACGGTAAAACGATTCTGCCCCAAAAACCCGATTAGTGCCCAGGCCGAGTCGATTTTTGGCAAGGAATGGGAACTCTTGCTTTCTCGAGGTGTTCACGTAGTGTACTGTATAGGCTTGATGATGCCCCTAGTTTCTGCAAGGTCGTTGACCTACACAGCACCCACCGCTCGCCTGACTTGGTACGGACGAAACGGAACTGCTCCCGCCCAGTCAAATCCACCACCAACAGCTGGCACCCGTTCAAATCACCAGGGATAATTCAATCCCTCTGTTCTCACACCAAGGGGCAATTTTTCTTGCTTTACCTGAGACTGAGGGTTCTTAGGACCATGACAGCTTCAGCGTAGAAAATGTTTCAGGCTCCACAAACGAGCGAGTCGCACAAAGATATTCGCAACAAAAAATTGGCTAACGCGAGTGGGTATTTCGATGTGCGAGCTTTGCAACATCGAGCATCATCATTCACCCTTGCATCACAGTGCCTGACCGATAGGGCTGTGAATGCGTACCCTCTGAAAACTTCGAGGGCGTGACCTAGCTACAGTACCACCACACCACACCACCCTCCAAGCCTCGCATGTGGCTCGGTTCGAACCAACGAGAACAGACAAGGCACCAGGCCGACGACGAGTGTCGTTCGGGCTAATGATCACTGAAAAGCTGTACCCGTTTTGGGGCATACGCTGGTTACCTCGACAGTTAGTCGGTTAATTTACAATACGAATACGAAACTGATATTACGATTGCATTGAGCCCCTCAATTCAGAGTCTTCATTCGATACATTCATCTGTCTCAAGCCCTAGAAGCCGAAATGTGTCCCCCCTTCAGCGGCTATTAGAAACCGGTCCCGACGACGCATTTTCGCTACTAACTTATTTAGCATTCGCCGCGAGCGTGCTAACTGCGGTTCAAAATGGGTTTTGGAAGTAAGTGCTCTGCCTGCTTGCTTGGTTCACTACGCGCCAGTCTCATTTTCCTCAATGACGTGAGGAGATTGCAATTATCGCTTTTTTGCCAGTTGCAATGCAACAGCGCGAAACCATGACACCCAACAGCGCAGTGCATTGGCCCTCATTCTGGGCAACCATTTTTCGTCTAACACTCGCATTTCACCCACACAACCCAAAAGTGAAGAATTTCTTTCGCCATTCTTCGCAGACCGAACCATGGTAACCCGCGCGCTGGACAAGGCGTTCTACGAGTTCGCGGAGTTGGACCGCACGCCGGACCACGAGGGCCGGCAAGTCATCAACGCCGCGGAACTCTACGCCTGCGTGCTGCTCGCGTACAAGTGAGTAGTGCTTTGCGTAGTAGTGGGGAAATGCAAGGGAGTGCAACGCCAATCAATAGGTCAGGTCGAAAACGCCTATTAGTAGGTAGCTCAATGCCTAGAAGCGCGTAGGCAGAGCCTGTTAATAGGCAGCGCGGCTCGCCTTCACGGAAGTAGCCTAATGCCTGCTGCCTGCTTTTCAGTGCCCTAGGGCATGCTTTTAAAACACTCAGTAACTTTCAGTGCATGCTTTTACCTTCAAAACCTTTCGCCCCCAACCACCCTGTTCTGGCAGTTATGTGAATAAGTTCTCCCCAGGGTCGCACCTGGATCCCCCTAAGAAGACAGAGGTGTTCAGAATGATGCAGGTGAGCATGGCATGGCTCAAGGTAACCAGAAAAAGCAGAGGTGGAAACCCAACCGAAGCAATCATAACTCTATCATTACATGTTAACCGCCACATGAAGCAAGTTCATGCTGAATGCCCGTGTTATTGCATGTGGCATCTGTGTTTCCATCCATTATCTGAATCACCACCTTGCAACTAGGCATAGTGCCAAATCTTCGGGCTACTTTTCACTTTCAAGCTCTGATATTTTTCTTGCCTCCCTATTCCCTGCCAGACGTTCGACCTGAATAGCGACGGCGTGTTGGACCGTGTCGAGTTTGAACGATTCGTGGAGAGCTTCGGCAAGAACTTGACAAGGCGGGCGATTGTCAATGCCACTGTTGTGTGCGCAGCTGTTCCAGCTCTCGTGTTTCTGACCAAGGCGTCCCTGAAGGAGTTTGAACCAACGCACAAGGTCGGGAAGAAGATCCCTTCTTCCTTGTTAGCTTGTGTTTTCACTACCGTATTTAAGATCGCTGGTCTCTGGTAGTTGCAAACGTGGTAGCAGCAACATTATCAGTGACAATGAATTGCTTATGCGTAAGACACACTGGCTGTCAAAATGAAGAATGGATGGTGCATTGATGTTGGTTGGGGTACATATAGCTAACCCTAAGTTTTGTACCCCCTAAGACAAACCTCACTATAGGCTACAACATTTGACACACCCCCATAGCCTAAGTGAGGGGTGTCTAGCAGAACCAAACGAGTACGGTCACAAGACCAGTCCAAGAAACAAAGCTCAGGGTGGATCACAACGTCACCACACAGTCTGAGCACAAACAACAGTGGCCACAAGGCCAGTCCAAGAAGTACGACAGAAAACAGGACCCAGAACCCAGGCGTGGACCGCCAGGAAACAGCTCCAGAACCCAGGCTGAAACAGTACCCCTGAGTAGACCTGTGAGTCTCAGCGTCGTCAGCGTAAGAGGAGTCACAGTGACCAGTAAGTACGACAGACTGCTGCCCTCCAAGAACTAGCCCCACGCCTGACGTCGTCGCTAGGTACTTCGCCACCCTCACAGCTGCTGTCCAGTGAACAGGACGGTGTCTCCCTGGCGCAACAAAGCGCGCAAGAACGCTGAGAGGGAAGGCGAGGTCCGGACGAGTACAAGTCATCAGGTACATGAGGCAACCCACAAGCTCTGCGTAGGGACCACTAGGCTCGAACGGCTCGTCAGGAAAGGGTCCAGTGAGTCTGTGGTCAACAGCAAGAGGTGTGCGCTGTACTGTGGAGTGCTGAAGCCCGAACCGCTGAAGGACCTGCTGCACCATGTGCGACTGTGAAAGTGTAATGGTGCGAGCAGCTCTGTCCCTGGTGATCTGCAGGCCAAGGTAGTGGCGCAGCTCACCAAGATCAGTGCAGGTGTGTCTCTTCTGCAGTTCGGACTTCACGTGTGCCAAAGCAACCCTGTCAGGGGTGGCGAAAACAAGGTCGTCAACGTAGACCAGAACAAAGAAAGGTGTGGTGCCACGACGAACGAACAGCGACGGGTCAGCAGAAGACGGCTGGAACCCAAGGTCAGACAGGGTAGAACGCAGGGTGTCGTGCCACTCACGAGGAGCCTGACGAAGACCGTAAACCGGTCGCCTCAGCCTCCACTGGGTCCCAGGAGGGAAAGAGCCAGTGAAGGCAGAGGGACGACGCAACCAGACCTCCTCGTGAAGACTGCCCTGAAGGAAAGCAGTAGAGAAGTCGAGAGAGTGTAACTCGTAGTCTCTCTGTGCTGCTACGTGTAGTAACACCCGAAGAGTGGTCATCTTCGGGGTGGGCGCGAAGGTCTGAAAGAAGTCAACTCCCTCGCGCTGACTGAAACCTCTAGCCACGTAGCGCGCCTTGAAGACCGGAGGAGATCCCGGTGGCCGCTTCACCCTGTAGATCCACATGCCGTCGACTACGTTCGCCCCCGGAGGGGGAACCTCATCGACGTAGGTGCCTGTGGATCTGTAGGAGGCCATCTCTGCGTCCATGGCAGCTCTCCACTGAGAGGCCCAAGGCCCTGACACTGCCTCAGCGTAAGTGCGAGGAGTCGGAATGTCAAGGGCGTCGGGGTCACCCTCAGGGGCGAGGAGCATGGCACAGAGATGAGGGGAAGCGGCCGCCAGGAACTCTAGCTCAAACTGCCTGTCCTCTAGGGCGTCACAGCCAAGGGCAGACACACCCCCGACGGCCAGAGGACTGGAAGGAGGAGCAGCCACAAGAGCGGTGGCGAAGTCAAGGCGGCGGGTAGAGGCAAACTCAGTGACTGCGGCAGTAAGAGCGGACACAGAGGACACAGAGGCACGAGGGTGAGTAACAAGTGAGGCGAGAACACGAGAGAGAAGAGGACGGTACGTGCGGTAGTAGTCAGTGACAGGAGTAGGGAGCGACGCAGTGAGAGCCGACTCAGGAGGAGACGGAAGCACAGACGGAGACGGACGAGGTGGACTAGAACGAAGTAAGGCAGTACGAAGGTCAGTGAAGGGAACAGGAGACGAGGGACGAGCACGAGGGGAGCGACGAGAGGCCCAAGTCTGAGAAGGAGGAGGGGACAACGAAGACTGAGAACGAGGGAAAACAGCGGGAGAGGGGTCAGGAGGAGGAAGCGGAGGACCAGAGACGGGAGGAGAGGGGGAGGAGGAAGGAGAGGGAGAGGGGAGACCAAGGGTCCGAAGACCCGAGACAGGAGGAGGAGACGGCAGCTGCTGCTGCTGCGGCTGCTGCGGCTGCTGCTGCTCCAGCGGCTGCTGCCCCTGCTGCTGCTCCTGCTGCTGCTCCTGCTGCTGTCGCTCCTGCTCCTCGAGCCGCTGCAACTCTCTCTCCTCTCTCTCCAACTCCAGCTGCTCCTCACGAGCACGACGAACACGAGCCTGGAACCTGGTCGGGTAGGGGTGGGGGGAAGGAGTAGTGTCCGGGGCAGCGGCAGCCCCAGAGTCGACCTCCGAAGCACCAAGCACACCACCCCCAGAGGCAGCACCAACACCAGCTCCAGACCCAGGCCCTCCAGAAACCGAAGGGACACCCTCACCCCCAGACGCAGCACCCCCAGACTCCGCACGACCAGTACCAGCCCCCGGAAGACAAGAGTCCTCTGCAACCCGCGGCTCAGCTCCAACTCCAGCACCCCCAGAACCAGAGACCTGTACAGGGACAGTCGCCGGACCAACCTCTCGAGAGGGAGCACCTGCAGGAGGCGGCGAGGAAGACTGTGGGGAGGGAGGCTGTACAGGGGGGGCTACCGAAGGGGGAGGGCTAGCCTGAGACACACCAGACGGGGCTGGACCAGGGGGGGGAGGCTGTACCGGGGGAGCAGGCGGGGGAGCGGCTGTCAGGAAGAGGGGGGGAGGAGGAACCGGGAGACCTCGACTGGGGTACCTGACGTAGTAGGGGGTGGACTCCTCGAAACGGACGTCACGGGAGTCAAAGAACCGGTGAGAGGGAGGGTGGTAAAAGGTGAAGTCAGAGGAGTCCTCAGGGAAACCAAGGAAGACACAAGGAACGGCGCGAGGCGAGAGCTTGTCCGCGGAGGTGTCGCGGACAAGAGCCAAGCACCCCCAGACACGAAACCTCGACGCGACACCAGGGGACCCTGTCCAAAGACTGGTCGGTGAAGCCTCCGGCCGAGAGACGCGTGGCCAGAGGTTCAGCTGGTGCGCGGCGTACCTGACTGCGTATGGCCACAGGAAATGGGGGGCACGGGCGTGAGTCAAGGAGGTGCGGGCAATCTCCATGACCAGGCCTATGCGACGCTCAGCAACCCCATTCTGCTGTGGGGACTCCGGAAGCGTCCAGGACTGACGAATGCCCTGTTCGTGACAGAATCCAGCGAGAATGCCGGAGCGAAACTCGCCCCCGCGGTCGGAGTGGAGACAGCTGACACGACGACCACGAGTGTCCTGGGTGGTAAGCAACCACCTGATCAGCGTAGAAGTCACCTCAGACTTCCTCGCCAGGGGGAACACTGTGGTGTAGCGGGAGTAGTCGTCAACGACCACCAAAAAGAAACGCTCACGCTCAGGGCCAGGGCAAGGAGAGGGGCCCCAGACGTCCAAGTGCAGCGTCTCAAAAGGCTCGGTGGCCGGACGAAGGGAGGAGGAGTGAGGGGTGGCACGCAGCCTACCCTCGACGCAAGGACCGCACGGTGGTGCAAGAGACGGCGGCAGCGACGGCAAGACACGCGGGAGACCTAAGACCAGACGCTGACTAGACATAGCACGCAGACGTGGAAGAGAAGGGTGTCCCATCCGGTGGTGCCACAGAACGGTGGGGTGGGCAAGCGACCGACAGGAGCAAGACGCAGCGACTGGACTGGACGCGACAACCTGAGGGGACGGAACCACCTGGTGAGACGCAGGGAGGAGACTAGGGGGAGGGACAGGAACTGGGAGGAGTGGCTGCTGCGACGGCGGCCGCTGTGGCTGCGGCTGCGGCTGCTGCCGCTGCTGCTGCTGCGGCTGCTGCTGCTGCTGCTGCGGCTGCTGCTGCTGCTGCAGTCGCTGCTGAGCGCGCGGGCCAGTGTGAAGAGTGTAGAGACCGGAGCCCGGCTCAGCAGCAAAAGTGGCGAGGGGCTGGTAAGAGTCCCCGTCAACACACACCGCAGTCTCTCCAGAAGGCTCAAACCACACACCCACGTGCTGACTCACGAGGGGTCGCACGCCCACCAAGTTCCGGGAGAACGAGGGGACGTGAAACCCAGTGAGAGACCCAGAAGGAGCAGCCGGACATGGCAAGGTGGTAGTGTGACGCGCAGTGACTGGTCCCGAAGTGGGATCAGCCAGCGCCACAGAAACAGGCGCAGGAAGAGGCGTAAGTGTCGTGCTGTCACGAAAGAAGCAGTGAGAGGCTCCAGAGTCCAGCGTGAACGACAGCGAACCGTCCTCTGAGGTAGCCGCTGGACTAGAGTCTACACAAGAACCTACACTAGCAACAGGCAACTGAGCAAGGCTAGCACCTAAGCTAACAACACCAGAGTAAGCAGAGTCAGAAACACTAGAGTCAACAACAGCATACATAGCATGGGGAGTACCAATCAGATCAACTAACTGCTCAGCAGACATGCCCCACAGAGCGGAGCCGTAGCGCTGAACAAGAGGCAGCCAGTCAGGGGCAGGAGCACCAACCCCGTAGACCAAACGAACCGTGTCAGTGAGCTGAGCAAAGCACTGACCAGGGGGGTGAAACCGGCCACAAGGGTGGCCACGACGAGTGCCTGTCAGAACCTGGTAGGTGCAGGGAGTGTAAGCAGCACCGCGCTGGGTCTGACGCAGCCCCGACCCTGGAGCCAGCTGCTGCCGCTGCTGCTGCTGAGGCTGCTGGGAGGAGAGGGGCTGCTGGTGCTGCAGAAGCTGCTGCTGACGCTGAGCCTGGTACCACGCCGCTGCTCCACCAACCGGGGCAGGAAGTACAGGAGGCGACTGACGAACTCGGGCGTCGCCACCACTAGCAGGCGCAGTGGAGTCACCAGTCACTGCACGAGGCGCCTCTCCAGGCCCTGAACCTCCACCGCCGCCAGGCGCAACGCCACCTCCACTACCTCCGCCTCCACCTCCACTACCACCACCAGAACCGCCTTTCTTGCCACTCCTACCGCGGGACCGCGACGCAGTCGTAACAGCAGCTGCAGTCGCGTCAGTAGCGGCAGTGGCAAGTGAGGCAGTAAAGGTGGGTAACTGCGGGACTGTGCACCCGTGGAAGAGTGGGGGGGGCACAGCACCAGAGGCAGCGGCTACCGAGCGAAGGTTGCTCTCGACGTCCTTGAGTGCAGACTCAAGGACATCGACGGTGAGCTCACTAGGGTGCTTCAGCAGAAGCGCGTCGCGAACGGAGGCAAGGCGGTCAGGGAGGCTAGTGGCGATGAAATAGATAGTAATCGCCATAGGGGGAGGAAGCAGTGCAAGCTGTGCCTCAGTGCAAGCAGCGCGGTAACTAGCGTCGAGCGAGCGGAGGTGAGCGATCAAGTCAGCAGAGCGCTCAAACGAGGCGAGATCAGGAAACAGGAACGGGAGGAAAAGACGGCCAAGAGAGACAGTAGCGGGAGTAGAGTAGCGGGCCTTAATCGCAGTGAGGTACGCAGCAGCGGTGCGAACCTGAGTGAAGTGGACCTCCTCTGACTCAGGGAGGAGGCTGCTGAGTGCGATGCAGGCCGCAGCGTCACGCGACGTCCAAGCCGTCCTGTCAGCGCGCTGACGGGCAAAGCGAGCCGTAGCAGCATCGTCAGGGGCAGGACCTAAAGCGGCAGGCTCGGGGGGCTCGGGGAGGTCACCAGTAGCGTGCGACCAGAGGGTCTCGCCCCCCTGGACTTGACTCTCTAACAGACGGCGAGCGCGAAGAAGCCAGACGGAGAAGTCAAGAGGTCTACCGTCAGCGTCGAAACGAAGAACTCGCGGAGTCGCCATAGCGAGAACGAACGCGAACGAGCAGGCGAGTAACAGCAGGAGGTAAGAGGCAAATTAGGGTTCAGGTGGGGGGACTTAGTCGCAGCGGAAGAACGGGCTAGGGCGACGGGCCAGGGCGTAGGGTCGACGGGACGGGGGAAAGGGCGCAATGCGACGGGGCAGGGCGACGCGACGGGGCAGGGCGACGCGACGGAGCAGAGGCGACGGGACGGGGAAGGGCGACGCGACGGGGCAGGGCGACGCGACGGGGCAGGGCGACGGGACGGGGAAGGGCGACGGGACGGGGCAGGGCGACGGGACGGGGCAGGGCGACGCGACGGGGCAGGGCGACGGGACGGGGAAGGGCGACGGGACGGGGCAGGGCGACGGGACGGGGCAGGGCGACGCGACGGGGCAGGGCGACGGGACGGGGAAGGGCGACGGGACGGGGCAGGGCGACGGGACGGGGCAGGGCGACGCGACGGAGCAGAGGCGACGGGACGGGGAAGGGCGACGGGACGGGGGGAAAGGGCGCGACGCGACGGGGGGAAAGGGCGCGACGCGACGGGGGGAAAGAGCGCGACGCGACGGGGGGAAAAGGGCGCGACGCGACGGGGGGAAAGGGCGCGACGCGACGGGGGGAAAGGGACGCGACGAGGGGGAAAGGGCGGGCAGGACGCGACGCTAGGAGTGGCGCTAGGCGCGGCACTACGCGCGGTAACAACGAAACCGGGACGAATGAGAGCTAGGATCAGGCTCGGGAGGCTCGAACGGAGAACGGAGGAACGGGATCCCACAGGATCCTAACCTAACTGATACCATGTCAAAATGAAGAATGGATGGTGCATTGATGTTGGTTGGGGTACATATAGCTAACCCTAAGTTTTGTACCCCCTAAGACAAACCTCACTATAGGCTACAACATTTGACACTGGCCCACCACTGACACGATTATGGTACGGTAAGAAGAAGCCTGTTGTGCCGTACTGTATGCTTCTCATTTTATATGATCCCTTTGAGCTGTACCTGTAGCTGATGCTTGGTACACAGACACTTTCAATGGGCAAATGTATCGATGTAACTCATGGATGGAGCATACCATGGGAAAGTGAAAGGGGGTTCGATTGCCATGAACATTGACGGACAAGCTGTTGTGTTCGTCATTCAGTGTAATTTTCGCTACAATAGCTCCTGCATATTACCAGGATAACATATAAACCACATAAGCTAGTCATATGCAGGTCACCTTAGTGCAGGGTCTTGTATAGCTGCTCTCACCATATTGTATGATGAATGTCAAGGCTTTCAATTTGCGAATCTGCGTGTGCCACCGAGTGAGTTGGTATGGAGGCAAGTCTTATTCCCTATCATCCCGCCAATTTCTTGGGCGAACCGTCGTCAGGGATGCAGGCGTTGGGCGCGTGTCCAGGATTTTTTTGGCTAAAAGAAAGGAGATGCCCAAAGCAGCTTTTCCGAGCCTCACCCCAAGTATGTCAGGTCGAGCCAGTGAATTGCCAAACCTCCGGCCTTGCACCTGCACAGCCAGCTTATTGGTTGCCTTGGACATGGCAACCGTTCCCGCTTGTGGGAAATTGCCCAGGCTCGGCAATCAGGAAGGCTATTCCTCTCTGACAAGGTCCTCTCATCAAGAGCTCTGATTGATGGGCATCATCAGAAGCCAATCATGATCGAGCAGCGACCCCGTCCCCGCGACATTCCCAAGGTCACCCCATCAACATCACGCCCCTCCTGGCAAAAAGATGACCAGCCTGGGCTCTGAGCTGCCTGGAAGCTTTTCCATCGCTAGGCAAAATTCTTCCCTCCAATTTCCTAAATGCCTGCCTCTAGGTTCCTGCAGTTTCGCCAGGCAAAATCTAGCTGCATCTGACAGTAGTGGCTGGTTCTGGACTAGTTTAGGAAGCCATGACTGATCAGTGAATGCCTAGTGCTTGTTCGCTGATGCGATCGCGTGGTTGATGGCGCTTCTGACCGTTCTGTCCGTTTCAGAGCCGTTTGCATGAGCTATCAGAGCAAAAGGCTCTCTCCCTGTGTTTCTCTTGTTCAGACTAAGTGCTTCCTCTACTGACCAGCCTGATCACTTCCTGAGTTCAGGACGGCACCAACCTTCCATTCTGACATTTGAAAAACTATAGCTAGCTTCTAATTATGTAACTTAATCCGATCCCGGCCGGAGTTCTGCTGATCGTTGCTGCGTGTCGAGTGACAGTAGTGTAGTGTCTGGAGCCGCTACTTTCGAGCGTATTTTCTATTCAAACTATATGGTGAGCATTCCGTCTATAGATATTCGTCACTTCCCGTTTTGTGGGATATCCCCTGTTACAACTCTAAGCTCTGCATATCAGGCGCAGAAAAATCAGTCTCGCGCCAACGTGTTGGCTCTTAACCAGCATCTACTTCGCACGACAACATCTCTGCTTCCTATCAAGCTTCCGAAGTTCAAACAGGGTAAAGGTCCCTAAACTGCAGGCAGTTTATTTTGTTTGGTTTGATTGTCAACGTATTCCGCACGACCCTGATTTGAGTTCTTACCAGAACCCAATCTCGACTACTCAAGGGTGTATTTTCGGAAGCTTGGCATCAGCGGCTGCAGCAGCATCAACATCAGAAGCAGCAGCCTCCCTCCGCTCCCCCCCAGGTTCGAGTTTCTCAAGGGTGTTATGCACCAACAACAGGAGGCACGATCCATGGCTCCGAATCAACTCCAAGCACAGCCACTTCAACACTGGCAGAACCAACCCCCGCAACAGCAGCAGCAGCCTGGTTATATGTCTCAGCAAATGCCATCCTGTCAGCCGCCTTTCCAGCAGCAGAGCTCCAATCAGCAGCGGAGTCTTCCTCAACAGCCACAGCAGCCAGCACAGCAGCAACAGCAGCCACAAAGCAACTACCAATCTTCACAAATGCAATTTCAGCAGCAGCCTCAGCAGATTTCTCTACAACAGGTCCAGCAGTACCAGCAGCCAACGATGTATCAGCAGCAGATGCAACAATCTCAGCAGCAGTCCTTCCAACCGCAGCAGCAAGCGTTTCAATCACAGCAGCAGGCTTATCAGTCGCAGCAGCAAGCCTACCCACAGCATCCACAACCGCAGCAGCAACAGGTCTACCAGACGCAATCGCAACATCAGCCTCAGGCAAATTTCCAGCCACAGCAGCTCCAGCCGCAGTATCAACAGCAAAACATGTACTCCCAGCAGCAGCAACCGGGACCAGTGCCTCAACCCAACGTTTACCAGCAGCAGCCTCAGCCGCAGCCGCAGCAGCAGCAATATCAGCCAGCTCAGCAGCCTCAAGCGCAGCAGACTTACCAGATGAATCAGCCTCAGATGCAGCCATCCCAAGCACCTCCTATGCCAACCGCTGTCACCCAACAGCTCTCGGCTCCGCAGCCGCTACTAACTCAACAGCAGCAGCTGCAGCAGTTCCAACATCCTCAATACAACCCTCTGCAGCAGCAGCAGCCCCAGCAGCATCCTCAACAGCAGCAGCAGCAGCAGCAGCAGCAGCAGCAGCCTATCTATTCGTCGCAGGTGCCTGTGCCCTCGTTTCAGAACCAAGCACCAGTAGCAGCACCAGCAGCAGCGCCTCCTCAGTACGATCCTGCTGCGTCCGCCAGTGGCGGTCAGATGAACATAAGCCCTCCACCCCAGCAACCATTTCAACAACCGCTGGCCCAGCCGCAACCGCAGATGCAGGGGATGCCTGTCCAGGCGACATCCATGCAGGCGACGGCGATGCAGGCGACGGCGATGCAGGCGACGTCGATGCAGGCGACGGCAATGCAGGCGACGGCAATGCAGGCGATGCCAATGCAAGCGACGCCGATGCAGGCGACGCAAATGCCCTCTCAAGTGCCAAGCCAAGCTCCCATGCAAGGTACGCAGTAGCCCGTGATCGGCCCCGTTGCCCGAATCCCGTGTTTCCTCGACCGTTTTCGTGCACGCTAATACCACCGCTCGTCGCAACTTTCGCGCTCGCGATTTCTCGTGGTTGTGCGCGTTCCGTGCGTTGGACTCACTTCCCTGTATCAACGCGTCCCGTAACCCACCCATTGCGCAGTGGAGTCGGGCGCGTGCGGGCCGTTCACGGTGGCGCAGTGGCAGGAGCTGGAGCAGCAGGCGCTCATCTTCAAGTACCTCGTCGCGGGAGCCCCTGTTCCGCTGGAGCTCGTTTCGCGCGTGCGCCTGTCCATGCCGCCGCTGCCGTTCGGGCTTCAGACGTTTCATCCCATGGGAGGCTTCATGCCGTGTACGTATCGTGCGATCGCCATGATCGTTTCGTTTGTGTATTCTCTCTGCTGCTCTGCGTGTCGCTCGCGTCCTGTGACGGCGTCCTTTTTCCGCTCCCTGGTTGCGATTCATCCATGTGCTTGTAAAACGAAAACGTCGCAAAAAATGTTCATGACGACTTACGTCAAATGTTGTTCCGTGTGTGGGTGCAGCGTTCTGGGGGCCGTCGATGCAAGTGGATCCGGAGCCATTCAGGTGCCGCCGCACAGATGGCAAGAAATGGCGGTGCGCCCGCGAGGTGCGTTTCTCCACCTGCTTCCTATCCCGCGGATCACGCCACACCACTTGTGTTGCCTTTCTTCGCGAGAAGAACCTTGCATTTGCAAAGCTCCTTTCCGCGCATTGCACTAGCATTTTCCACTGTCGAGGGCTCAACATTCTGTCGTCAACCCTGTCTTTCCATTTTCTGTCCTGTTACCCTCGTGGCCTCGTTCCCTCTCGCCCTTGCGCACACGCGCGCACGCGCGCATCAGGTGGTGGCGGAGCAGAAGTACTGCGAGCGCCACCTGCACCGTGGGCGCAACCGAGCGCGCAAGCTCAACGACAAGGCCACGCCCGGAACCTCCCTCGTGGCAGACGACGGGGAGACCACCCCCACAGCCACCACCGCCACCACCACCACTGCGACCACGGGCACTGGTGCCGCGGATGGCTGTCTCACGAGCGACGGAGTGAGGGCCATGGAGTCTGTGGAGGATGGGCGGGGCGCCAGCACGGGTGTGATGGATGCCAGTGCAGGGGGAGGGGGGGTGGGGGCTAGTGGCGGGGCTGGCGGGGTTGCAGACAGGACAGGCAGTCCGTCGAGTGGTGATAGCGGGGGTGACGCTCTGTCTGCGGAGTGTGCTGGAGAAGGGGAGAACGGCGCGTGTGGAAGGGCTGAGGGAGGGAGAGTGGAGGGGGGTGGTGGTGCGGAGAAGAGTGGGTTGGCGGGCGAGGAGAATGGAAGGAGGGAGGGTGAGCCGTGTCAGGGGGTGGTGGCGGCACCAGCCTCTGCTGCTGGTGCGGCGTCTGAGCCTGCAGGTGCCGTCGGTGTGCCTGCAGCTGTGGTGTGTGTGTCCACCACAGATGTGATTTCCCCGGTGCCTTTACCCACAGGAGTGGTGTCTGTGGTGTCTGCACCCACTGGGGCAGCGGCAGGCGGGCACCCTCCTCCTCTTGCTCTCCCGCCCCCCGCGCATGCTGTGGAGGGCCGCGCTCAGCAGGTGCCACAGCAGCAGCACCAGCAGCAGCAGCAAAGGCTGCCTGCTGGTTCCCCTCTGGCTGGGTCCCTGCCTGGAGTCGTTTCCGCGGTACAGCCAAGCCCGAAATTTACCCAATCTGGAAGTTCCACGCAACCCAACACACTCGCTTCTCCGCCTGCTGTCGGCCCTGCTGTTGTTGCTACTGTTGCTGGTGCATCGCCAAAGCAGCAGGAAATGGGGAGCACGCAGGGATCCACCAAGACTAGTGGGTGAGTGAAGCCTGGGCCATGGCATTTCCCTGCTGGTTAGTTCTCCAGGATTTCAGACTTCTAACTACTTGTCTGCTTGTGTTCCTTGTACTGTGCTGATTGACTTTGCATGACAGTGCTGCTGCTACCCTCATGAAAGGGGACAAGCCAATTGGTGCTGCTCCCATGGATGTAGATGCGCAGAGGCAAGGGAACCAGGTTGTTGCCAGTGGAGTTGTTGTACCACAGGCGAGATCCAATGTGGGTGCAGGAAAGGAGGTGCAAGGGCCAACGAGTGTCAGTGGGGCCTGCAACGAGGAGGTTGTTATTGTTGATGGGAAGGACGCCTGCCGGTTGGTGCCTGGGGAAGGAGCGAAGATGGGTCAACTCGCTCAAATGCGGTCCCGAGCATCGCCAAATGTAAGTCAAATTGTTGAGGCAGGTTTGCATGTTCAATAGCTTTGAGGTGGCATGACATTAGTGTTTTAATTGTGCTCACTCCTACTTCCTTGTTGTGTTTGCAGTGTGTGTTACCATCTCCATTCCATGGTTCGGATGGTGGCAGTGGCGCACAGAGCCCAGTGGACATCTCTCCACTTGGGCCTGTCCCGGTCGCAGCATCAAATGAAGCGGTGAAGCATCAGTGAACGGAAACAAAAATGTATTGCGCACCATATACACATGGACCCTTTTAACTCGACACTAATAGCGCTACACTTTGTGCCAAGTAGGATAGATTTTGTCTAACTAGGTAGATATGCTGATATGGACGAACTTGTTCTATTTATTCCCGTAAGGCAGAACTGATTGTATGAACGTGTGTGATGATTCACTTCCCAGTACAATGGGCCGAAGTGTCCCTTACTATGTACGCCTTATAGGCAGGCTACCGTTGGCACGGGCACTGACAAAGAACCTCGGGAATTTCGCAAACATTCCAGCCAGTTCACCCAACACGTTTACTGTATCCGTCCGATCTGAACCGAACCCACGTTTCTGCTTGTTCCAGTTTGGTTGCGATGCGAGCGAGCCGGTTCCCTGATGCTAGTCATCATCTGTTGGGCACCAGAATCAGGCCTTTTGTCATACAGTATCCCAGACTTGTGGTCCATAATAGATGGCAGAATATGGCCGTTTGACGACTTGTTAGCTGTGGGAACGGCTGCTTGTTTGTCTAAGAAGTTCATTTTAAGTCAAGTTTTGCAGCGGCATTTCCGCGTTGTATCGCGTATTCTCAAAGAGAGAGCCTGGTCGTGCATGTTATGTGCGACTAGCATCGCGAGAATCGACCACATCTACCGCTATTCGCGAGCATTCGGCACTTTCATCCAGATGACTGCCGTCCTAAGAAATTCCCAGAATTGAACGCGAGGCGTCGGTTCTCGTGACAGCCTGGTAGGGCAGCGACGATGCTGGGAAACGCACGCCTTAGACGTCCGTTACTAATAGCCTGATGCGGCTTAGGTGACGCGGCTTAGCTCGTAGTGCTGTCAGCAGCCGGCCGAGACCATCCCTAAGGGTCTGACGCGACGGCTGAATCTGTCCTTTATAAGCCAATTTTCTTAAGGCACAGCTGCAATGTCGTTCTTCTCGAGGCTTATAAAGGGATCGCGTGTATCGGAGGATCTAGACCAGGAGTACCCCGTGAGGAAGGACGTTGACGTCACTCAAGCCAGCAAGTTCCGTCCACGGGTAAGGCGAAGGAATTGAATGTTATGAGAGGCAATGAGTCCTAGAGAAGGAGATTAGTCCTTGAGTGAGGAAAAGAGTTTCGTAACAAAGACAAAGGAGATTTGTAGGGGAGTCGATACAGCATCCCATCCTGACTAATTCCGTGCATCTTCAGGCTAATGACGAAGCTTTTCGGGCCGTCAGTCAATTTCAAGAAGCTACCCGTCAACCGCATTTGACCGTCAGTCAAGCATGTCAGACCGTCAGACAATCATACCAGGCCGGCAATAAATGATATCAGACCGTCAGACAATCATCCCAGGCCGGCAATGAATGATATCAGACCGCCAGCAACCACATTCGGGCTTCAAGTTATTATATAAGATTGTCAATCAACCGAAACCAAGGCTGACGATCGCACAGGCCCTCAGCACCAAGCACTTAGTATCAGTAGCGTATCCTCTTCGTTCTTCCATCCCTAACCTCTCTTCTCCTCTTCTCCCCCCCTCTCCCCTTCCCCTCCCTTCCACTCCCTTCCGTCCTTCTCTCTCTCTCTCTTCCTCGCTTCCTCTCTCTCCCTCACTCACATTGCAACCCCGTTACCATCACACTCGGTGTTCGGGTGAAGAAGCGGGTGTCAGTTTTTCAAGTCAACTTAAAGCTCAGCATTGCAACCCCCATTACTATCACATGCTGCGTGCAGGTGAAGAAGCGGCTGTCAGCGGAGCGATGGGAGGCGTGTCAAGACGAGTTCGGCCGGGTGTGGGCCATTGATGCTGCGCTCAAGCACATACAGCGAGGGGTGCGTGCTTATAGCGAGGGGTGAGGGATGTGCGCGCTTAACAAGGGCTGTGCGCTTATAGCCAGGGGGTGTGCGCTTGTAGCGAGGGGTGGGTGCTGAAGCAAGTACAAGGAAGAGCATGGGTCGAGCACATGAACGTGGAACGTTTTGGCCCTCTCATGCGTATCTCTCTTCCTCGCCTATCCCAGCAGGGCGTGGAACCCAGCATTCGAGGCGAGGTGTGGCCGTTCCTCACACTGCCTTTGCCCTTGTCTTTCTTCTTCTCCTTCCCCCATTCACCGTCCTCCCAACTCGTCTCGGCCCTCTCATGCGTATCTCTCTTCCTCGCCCATCCTGGCAGGGCGTGGAACCGAGCATTCGGGGCGAGGTGTGGCCGTTCCTCCTGGGGCTCTACTCGCCCAACAGTACCCACGAGGAGCGGGACGCCATGCGAGAAGCACGGCGGTGAGAGAAGCACGGCGGTGAGAGAAGCATGGCGGTACGGGGGTGAGAGAATCAGTGCAGTGAGAGAGTGACGGCAGTGGGAAGCAGTGCAGTGAGGCATCATTTCTCCCTCTCGCTCTCCGTTCCTCCTGGGGCTCTACTCGCCCAACAGTACCCACGAGGAGCGGGACGCCATGCGAGAAGCACGGCGGTGAGAGAAGCACGGCGGTGAGGGAAGCATGGCGGTGAGAGAAGCATGGCGGTACGGGGGTGAGAGAATCAGTGCAGTGAGAGAGTGACGGCAGTGGGAAACAGTGCAGTGAGAGAGTGACGGCAGTGGGAAGCAGTGCAGTGAGAGAGTGACGGCAGTGGGAAGCAGTGCAGCGTCTCGCTCTCCGTTCCTCCTGGGGCTCTACTCGCCCAACAGCACTCACGAGGAGCGGGATGCCATGCGAGAAGCACGCCGGTGAGGCAAGGGGGGCATGCGAGCATGTGATGAGAGCAGCATGTCATGTGGGAAGCATGTCATGTAGTATGCTGCTGCTGCTGCTGCTGCTGCTGCTGCTGCTGCTGCTGCTGCTGCTGCTGCTGCTGCTGCTGCTGCTGCTGCTGCTGCTGCTGCTGCTGCTGCTGCTGATGATGATGCCGCAGCTGCTGCTGTTGCTGCTGCTTCCAACCACCCTCCGCCCCACCCCTCCGTCCTCCCCCACCTCTCTCCCACCCCTCTCAAAACAGCGATTTCTACGCGAGGTTGAAGCAGGAGTGCAACGAGGTGGATCCGGTGGTGGGCAGTGGCGTGGTGGTGGACTTCCCCCCACCTACCCCCTTCCTCCTTCCGTTGCGGCTCCTGCTGCTGTTGGTGCTTCTGCTTTAAACCCCTTTGGCATCCCCTCCGTGTTTACACCCTGCCACCCTGCCCCCTCCTCCCCTCAACAACAGTGATTTCTATGCGAGGTTGAAGCAGGAGTGCAACGAGGTGGATCCGGTGGTGGGCAGTGGCGTGGTGGTGGACTTCCCTCGCGTGCTTGAGGACGGCTCCGACGTCCCCCTCCCCTCCTACTACAGCGGGCCCCACATCGAATGCCCCTCCTCCTCCACTCCCCCCCGCCCTGCTGCTAGTGGTGGTCTAGAGGTGAATGGAGGAGGAGAAGGAGGAGCGGCAGGGCGGGGCGGTGGAGAGGGGCAGAGTGCGGTGCTGACGGAGCGGGAGAGGCTGGTGGGGCGGGTGGGGGAGGAGCGGGTGCGCAAGTGGCGCCTGGGGCTGCACCAAATAGGCGTGGACGTGCAGAGGGCGGATCGCACGCTCGTGTTCTACGAGGAGGAGGGCAACCGGTCACGCCTCATGGAGGTTCTAGCTGTGTACTCGTGGTTCGACCCTGATGTGGGGTACTGTCAAGGTGCGTAGGAGGAACACGCTCCGAGGTTGGGTTGGGGGGATGCTCGCATTGCTGGCTGGGGATGCAAGCAAGTGGCGCCTGGGGCATGTGGGGCGCCTGGGGCTGCACCAGATCGGTGTGGACGTGCAGAAGGCGGATCGCACGCTCGTGTTCTACGAGGAGGAGGGCAACCGGTCCCGTTTGATGGAGGTTTTAGCTGTCTATTCCTGGTTCGACCCTGATGTGGGATATTGCCAAGGTAGGATGGGTGCTGCCAATGCAGGGTGCTGGGGCGTCTGGGGCCTCTGGGGCGGCTGGGGCGCCTGGGGCTGCATCTGATAGGCGTGGACGTGCAGAGGGCGGATCGCACGCTGGTGTTCTATGAAGAGGAGGGCAACCGCTCCCGTTTGATGGAAGTGCTGGCTGTCTATTCCTGGTTCGACCCTGATGTTGGGTACTGCCAAGGTGGGTCCTGCGCGCGTGGGAGGGAGGCACGGTCAGGTAGTGGGGCGTGTGGGGCATGTGGGGCGTCTGGGGCATCTGGGGCCGTGTGGGGCTCCTGGGGCTGCACCAGATAGGTGTGGACGTGCAGAGGGCGGATCGCACACTCGTGTTCTACGAGGAGGAGGGAAACCGCCCCCGCCTCATGGAAGTGCTGGCGGTCTACTCGTGGTTCGACCCTGATGTTGGGTACTGCCAAGGTGGGTGGGGATGGGATGGGGGAATGCATTATGGATGCTGCGTTGGTGGAGCGGGTGTTGGGGGATGGGTGATGGGTGATTGCTGTGGTGGGATCATGAGAGTTGTTGTGTCACCCTTCATAGTCATGTTCTCTTCCATTCCTCTGCTTCCTTCTTCATTCCCGCTCAACCCCTCCTACTCCCTCCCTTCCCCAACCACTTCAGGCATGAGCGACCTCATATCATCTCATCCTTGATCGTCACCTGCCTCTCTTCCTTTCCTCCTTTCCTCCCACCACCCCTCTCTTCCCCATGCTCCTCACCACGAGCAGGCATGAGCGACCTCATGTCGCCCTTCATTGTCATCTTCCCCAACAACGCCGATGCCTTCTGGTGCTTCGAGCGCCTCCTGCGCCCCATTGTAGGTTCAAACAAATAGGTGGTGGTAAGGAGTGTCGGAGAGAGGGAGGGTGGGAGGGAGAGGGAGGGTGGGAGGGAGAGGGAGGGTGGGAGGGAGAGGGAGGGAGGAAAGGAGGGAGGGAGAGAAAATGGGGATATTGCATGTCTTACGATGCTCTTTTGCTTCACGCATGTTTGCTGCAGAGGACCGACCTGTACTCGCCTCGACCACTTATCCTTTCACCTCCCACTCTCCTTGGCGAATTTGCACCTCATGACTGTGTGTCCATGTCTCGTCTCGCGCGTTACCCCCTGACATTGGGTGTATGTCTCATCTTGTGTGCGTATCTCGCCCTGTTTCTGCGGTGTGTATGTGGGGGGGGGGGGGGGGGGGGGGCGGTGTGTGTGTGTGTGTGTGTGTGTGTGTGTGTGTGCGTGTGCGCGGGGTGTGTGTGTGTGTATGCGGGGTGTGTGTGTGTGTGTGTGTGTGTGTGTGTGTGTGTGCGCGCGCGCACGGTGTGTGTGTGCATGCACCATGCAGAGGAGTGACTTCATGGGAACATCAGCCAGCATAGGCGTGCAGAAGGAGATTGACAACCTCAAGAACATCACCCGCGTTCTCGACCCCGAGCTGTTCGCCCATCTAGGTGAGCCCTGTTGCACTGAAGTACCCCCCAACATGCGCACATGTGGGTACGGGGTAACACGTCAGCCAGCATAGGCGTGCAGAAGGAGATTGACAACCTCAAGAACATCACCCGCGTTCTCGATCCCGAGCTCTTCACCCTTCTAGGTACGGGCCTACAAACTTGACTAGGTGGGTGGGTAGGTACTGCATAGCACGGCATGGTTAACCAAGTACTGCACTCTACCACTGCTTTTGAGTCGACTCAAGTCAAAAGCACTGCCACTGCACCATCAAGAACATCACCGCGTGCTCGATCCCAAGCTCTTTGCACATCTAGGTACGCCCTGTTGTATACCGCCTGCCCCCTCCCTATCTTTCCCCTCATCCCCCCATCAGATGAGAAGATGACATAGGGGCAGGTTCCATGTGCTCCACAGTGCGTCTTATCATAGGCATGACTCTATGCCCATTCCACTGTCCCCTTCATCACAATCTCAATGCTCCCACCATATCCCCTCGCTACACATCAGAAGAGATAGGAGCAGGGTCCATGTGCTTCACAGTGCGCCCACCATCATGGCCATGACTCTATGCTTTCTACCTCCTCCCGCCAACCCATCTCCAACCCCTCCTTCCCTCCATCCCCCCTGCAGACGAAATAGGAGCAGGGTCCATGTTCTTCACAGTGGGCCCCATCATGGCCTTCCCACCAACCCAACCCCTTCCCATCCTCCCCCCACTGCTTCTTGCAGACGAAATAGGAGCAGGGTCCATGTTCTTCACAGTGCGCCCCATCATGGCCATGTTCCGCCGAGAGCTCTCCTTTGCCGACTCCATCTACTTCTGGGAGGTACCACTTCTGTTATGCTTGCTAAATTTAGCAACTACTGCTATTTTTGGAAGGTCCTAGGCTCCATGTTCTTCACAGTGCGCCCCATCATGGCCATGTTCCGCCGGGAGCTCTCTTTTGCCGACTCCATCTACTTCTGGGAGGTATGCTGCAGCGCTGCTGCCATTTTTAGCAACAACTGCTATTTCTGGAAGGTACTAGGCACACATGTTCTTCACAGTGCGAGTCCCCTTATGGCCATTTTCCGCCGCGAGCTCTCCTTTGTTGACCCCTTCTGTTTCTGGGAGGTACTGCTGCCCTGAGTGCTATTTTTAGCATCCACTGCTATTTCGGGAAGGCACTGCACAGCTGGTTCTGTGAGTGGAATCCGGAAAACGTCGTCCTGTTCTGACTGCATGTGCTTCTGATATGTATGCTTTCCCGTCAGGAGGTACTGTCACTTCTAGTTTCTGAATTTGTGAAGTAATAAGTTTTTTTTTTTTTTTTTTTTTTTCCTGTATTTGCTTGGGTAAGCCCTTGCACTGGCTAAGTGGCTGTTGACCTGTCCTGTGATGGCCATGTTAGAATTGAACCGTTAGTATAATCTAACAGGCCATGCACGCCCCATCCTTGCACTGTTCCCCGCCACTTCAGATGATGTGGTCATGGGACTGTAACGGCCAGGGAATGCACATTTCCCTTCCCCACACCTTCCCTTCTCCCCTTCCCCTCTCTCCTCCCCCTCTCCCCTTCCCCTCTACCCCCCCGCTTCTCGCCCTCTTTCCCCTCCAGATGATGTGGTCGTGGGATTATGATGCCCGCGACGCCGACCTACTAGCCATGGCAGACCAATCCGTGCTGCGCCACACCATGCACTTCTCTCTCTCCACACCTCCTCACCTGCTATCCCTGTTCCATGCCTCCCTCCCCTCTCCCCTTTTCCCCCACTATTTCAGATGATGTGGTCGTGGGATTATGATGCCCGGGATGCCGACCTCCTAGCCATGGCAGACCAATCTGTGCTGCGCCACACCATGCACTTCCCCCACTCCACCACCTCCCCACCTGCTCTCCCTGTCCCATGTTTCCCTCCCCTCTCCCCCTCTCCCCCTCTCCCCCTCTCCCCCACCATATCAGATGATGTGGTTGTGGGAATATGACGCCCAGGATGCAAACCCCTCCTCCTCATGCCTTCCCCTCTACCCCTCTCCCCCTCGCCCGGCCTCTCACCCTCTCTCTCCTCCCTTCCAGATGATGTGGTCGTGGGATTATGATGCCCGCGATGCCGACCTACTAGCCATGGCAGACCAATCTGTGCTGCGCCACACCATGCACTTCCCTCTCTCTACCACCATCCCCCACTCCTCTTCTGTCATGCGTTCCCCCATGCTTCCAGATGATGTGGTCGTGGGACTATGATGCTCGTGATGCCGATCTACTAGCCATGGCAGACCAATCTGTGCTCCGCCAGACCATGCACTTCTCTCATTCCACGACCTCCACCCACGCCCTCCACCAAAACTCATTCGCCGCCGCCACCACCGCTGCTGCCGAAGCAGCTGCAGCGGCCGTGGCAGCGTGCGAGGGCTCTGGAGTCGAAGCAATCCCATCTGGTGCGGCCAAAGCTGCTGCCAAGGCTGCTGCTGCCGAAGCTGCTGCTGTGGCTGTGACGTCCTCTCAGGCGTCCTCTCAGGGATCAGGGGTGGATGGGGTGACGCCTGGTGGTGGTGTAGCCCGGATGGCTGGTGCTGCGGCTGCAGTGGCGCGGGTTGTTGGGAGAGAGGAGGAGGGGCAGCATGGGGGGAGAGGCAGACCAGGTAGGTTTCGAGACATTAAAAAATGGCGCTGTTTTCGTACGTTTTTCGAGACATTATGAAATGGAGTTGCAGGACTTTTTTTTTTTCTAGCTATTGCGAAACTATTAGAGGAGGAAGAGCTTTGAGCTGACTTAATAACGAGGTGACTTTTGAGTCACCTCAAGAGTCATCTTGAAATGACGGAGGTGCGGGGCAATTTTTTGCCATTGTGAGTGCGAGGAGTAATAGCCTCATGAGGGGAGAGGGAGGGCCTTGCGCATTGGGAGCAGGTATAAGGTGTAAGTTAGGGTGTTTAGGCATGAGAGTGACTGTGTGTTATGTGAGTGATGCAATGTGATGGAAATGTGATGGCAATGTGATGGCAATGTGATGAGGCACCCCATCAGTCCATTCCATCACCCCATGCTGTCGCCCCATCACCCATCCCCCATGCCATCACCCCATGCTATCACCACATGCTCTCACCCCATGCTATCACCACATGCTATCACCACATGCTATCACCCGATGCTATCACCACATGCTCTCACCACATGCTATCACCCAATGCTATCACCACATGCTATCACCCCATCATCACCCATCATCACCCCATCATCACCCCAACATCACCCATCCTCACCCGTCATCACCCATCATCACCCCTGCAGGCACACGCTCCACTGCAGCTGTCTGGGCGAGTGTGGAAGCAGAAACGGAACCTATCACCTTCCAACCCACTGTCCCATCATCTCATCATTGCGTCACCACTATGACCCCTTGCCATCACCCCATGCACTCGTTGCCAACACCCCTGCAGGCACACGCTCCACTGCAGCTGCCTGGGCGAGTGTGGAAGCAGAAACGGAACCTATCACCTTCCAACCCACTGTCCCATCATCTCATCATTGCGTCACCACTATGACCCCTTGCCATCACCCCATGCACTCGTTGCCAACACCCCTGCAGGCACACGCTCCACTGCAGCTGCCTGGGCGAGTGTGGAAGCAGAAACGGAACCTATCACCTTCCAACCCACTGTCCCATCATCTCATCATTGCGTCACCACTATGACCCCTTGCCATCACCCCATGCACTCGTTGCCAACACCCCTGCAGGCACACGCTCCACTGCAGCTGCCTGGGCGAGTGTGGAAGCAGAAACGGAACCTATCACCTTCCAACCCACTGTCCCATCATCTCATCATTGCGTCACCACTATGACCCCTTGCCATCACCCCATGCACTCGTTGCCAACACCCCTGCAGGCACACGCTCCACTGCAGCTGCCTGGGCGAGTGTGGAAGCAGAAACGGAACCTATCACCTTCCAACCCACTGTCCCATCATCTCATCATTGCGTCACCACTATGACCCCTTGCCATCACCCCATGCACTCGTTGCCAACACCCCTGCAGGCACACGCTCCACTGCAGCTGCCTGGGCGAGTGTGGAAGCAGCAGTCACCTCAGGCGCCCTCACCGACACCAAAAGAAACTCCTCCTCTTCCAACCCTTCCTCCTCCGCTGCCCCCGCCACTGCCGCTGCCGGTGGCGGCAGTGCTGCTAATTCCCGAGCCACCACCCCCTCACTCCCCGCTCACCGCCTCCCCTCCCGAAAGCACCACAGCGAGCGCAAAATCCCTGCCGCCGCCACCACCAACCCCACCACAAGCAACAACACTCACAGCCATGCCATAGAGGCCCGCTCCCGCAGCTGGGCGGGAGTTGGGCCGTACAGGAAAGACGTGATTCGTTACGTGACCCTAGATGCCTCTGCGGGTAAGCTAGCTGCTAGCAAGAGCGCTAAGTACCTCTCCTCGCGGCGCTCTGCTGTGGCGCTCTGGCACAAGGCACAGAAGCTCGCAGGGCCCGTGGGTACGGCTGCTGCTACTGCTGCCATGCCGGCTGATCCTGTTGTGTTTGCTCTCTCGGCCTTTGCTGGCCGTCCAATCACACCGTCGCATGCCAATGCTGGTGCTGCTGCTGGTGCTGGTGGTGCTGGTGGTGCTGGTGGTGCCGATGCTGGTGGTGGTGCTGCTGCTACTGGTGCTGGTCCGGGTGCAGTGCCGATGCCGTTGAATCTGCCACCAAGGGCGCATCGACGGACAGGATCGTTCGGGCTGGGAAGACGAGGCAGCAAGAAGCACGCCGCTGCACCCGCTTCTCCCACACCACAGCAGGCGCCCTCAGCAGCAGCGATCGGATCCGCGCTAGCAGCAGCAGAAACAGCCGCAGAGAAAGCAGCAGAAGCAGCAACAGCAGCAGATGCGGCCGCGGCAGCAGCAGAGGAGGCGGGGGCGATAGTTCCTCCGCAACCGTCGGCGTTCTATGCTCTTCCGGAGTCGGCGGGGGTGGCGGTGCCGTACGTGCGGAGGGAGGAGCAGGAGCGCATGACGACCTTCTGTGTGCTGGCCATTGTGCTTAAACTGAGGGACGAGTTTATTGATGACGCTACTGGCCTTGATGATGTGGTGGATGTGAGTATAACGGGGGGGATGTGAGTGTAACGGAGGGGATGTGTGTGTAACGAGGGGCGGGGGGATGAGGGGGGAGGGAAGAGGGGGGTAGATTAAGGAGCAGGAGTGCATGGCCATTTTCTGTGTTCTGGCCATTGTGCTTAAATTGAGGGACGAGTTTATTGATGACGCCTCTGGGTTGGACGATGTGGTGGATGTGAGTGTAAGGGGGGGATGACAGGTGTCGGGTGAGGGGAGTGGTCTGAGGTGGGCTGGTGGGCCAGGCGATTGGTCAGGGTGAAGGATGCAAGCCTGTGTATGTCAGCCCTTAAAACCCTCATTCTCCCCATACACCTGTCATTGCCGTGGTGGTGTTTTCTAAAACTTCTAAACATCAGTCTATTTGTTACGCCACTCCAGAAAGAAATGCCCTTGTATCCCTTGTTTCCCCTCCTTCACCCCCCCTCCCCCTCGCCTGCTTCTCTTCTCCCGCTTGTGTGTCCCCACCCTCCCATGTGTCTTTTCCCCGCTTCTCCTGCATCTCAGAGCTTCAATGCAGCAGCAGGGTCGTGGGATGTGAAGAAACTGTGTAAACGAGCAGTGGACCTCCACCGGCAGTACCTTGTTCTGGTATGTGCTTATAGCGAGGCAGCATTGCTAATACAAAACAGTGCCTTGTGTTGGTATGTGCTTATAACGATTGAGTACCTTGTGCTGGTATGTGTGCTTATAACAAGGCAGTACCTTGTGCTGGTATGTGCTTATAATGAGGCAGACCTTACGCTGTATAATGAGGCATCACCCTAGTGACTCTGCATCTAATTTCGAGCATGTGCGATTGCATGTGTAATTGCATGTGTGATTGTGTTGCGAGTGTGTGTCGACCACATGTGTGCATGTGTGCCTACTGTGGGTGATATTAGTATCCCCCGCATGTACCCAAGGCGGATCTGATGCTCGCACATCCGCCTTACCCTGCCCACGCTGCACTCCACTGCATCCCACTGCATCCCACTTCATCCCTCTGCATCCTTGCTCATCCGCCTTCCCCCCCCCCCCCCCCCCCCCCCCCCCCCCCCCCCCCCCCCCCCCCGCCTTTCCCTTCCCCCACCCCCTCTCTTCCCACAGAAACTGGCCGCGCATGAGCTAGGCCGGACCCTCTGACCTATGATATGAACCCGCTCGTCCCACAGTTCCCTAGTTATTTGCAGCTTAGTCAAGCCGTACAGCAGTGGCGGCTGCAGCCACTGCCCATGGCTCAAATTTTGAGCGCTGTTGGACACAAATCTCTTCGTGAGTTGGTAGGTAGGACCAAGTGATTCGCACCTTAGTCAAGCCGTACAGCAGCGGCTTCTGAGTCGACTCAAAAGCAAATTTCTTCGTGAGTTGGTAGGTAGGAGGACCAAGTGATTCGCACCTTACCTTAGTCAAGCCGTACAGCAGCGGCGGCTGCAGCCACTGCCCATGGCTCAAACCTTGAGCGTTTTTGTACACATTTACCGACGCGAGTTGGTAGGAGCCTGATTTCGAGAGCCTGATCTTGGGAGCATGATTCTATGAACGCCAGAGATCTGAGCATGCCATTCCTACACTCCTAGTATTGAGTCAACACTAGCGCTGAGGTATCGCTGTGTTACCGGTGCCATGAGATACAAATAGGTGAAGTGTAGATGTAGGGTAAAAAAAAACTTGGCTTGTTATACATGCCCCAACATGAGTTTCACAAACGGATCCGTCATTACCACATCGTGCACTCGCTGGTAAATCGCGGCAGTTTTTCTCACGTGGTGACCAACCAGATTAGCATTCCTCCGCGGACATCAGTGGAGCTCGGCAGTGCTCAGTGGTCCTCAGCGGTGTTCAGTGGTCCTCAGCGGTGTTCAGTGGTCCTCAGCAGTGCTCGGTAGCAGGCTAGCGATGCTCAGCGGTCCTTGGCGGTTCTCAGCAGTCCTCAACGGTCCTCAGCGGTCCTCAAAGGAGATGAGCAGGGCCAAGCGCCGGTGCACCTGACAGTACACACATGGTGGGAAGAAAGAGTCAGACGTTAAAGGAAGGACTTCTGGAAACAAGAAGATTCGAATAGTCACCTCTCCTGAGTTTACCCAACGACCACAGATAGACTGACCTCTGAAAGCTGCTTCAGGGAGTAATTGTGCTGCTGCTTCAGATCCTGTTTCACTTGAGGAGACAGCTTGTAAGGGGGATGTAACGAGGGGCTGGATTTCTCAACACCCTCTAGAAGCTGCTGCTGAGGGGCCAGTGGGTGATCGGACGGTGGAGAGACATGGATGGATGGTGATTCCGGAAGGGACGACGAGGTTGAAATCGGCACCGAGGTTGAAAAGTGGGGGGGGGAGGGGGAGGTGGGGGAGGAGGAGGAGAAAGAAGACTCGTTAGAATCGGCAGGTGAGATGAGATCTTCATTTGGTGTTGGTAAGGATGAGGTGGAGGTTGATGACGTGGCGCTGTCTGATTGGAGGAGCCGTTCGCACCGTTGGATGTGGGCCTCGATGCGAGCAGCCTTCCTCTGCAGCTGGTCCCGCATCTTTTCCCGGGCTGCCGGGTTCACCTGCCCGCTCGTCAACTTTCTCCACTTCTTGCCCACTTCTTTCTGCCCTGAGCGCCGGTTTTCCACCAATACTCCGGCCCCCTCCTTTACCCCTCCTTCAAAAATCTTCCCCGAAGAGCCAAGAGCTGATGTGACAGCAGCAGGTGTGACTGAAGCAGGTGTGGCAGCCGCTGTGCCGGATGTGACTGTATTGAGCAGGGCAGCAGTGGCGGGTGGTTGGGGATCGTACCAATGGCGTGGCAGCCCAGCAGTGGCACGGGCTGCATGGTCGAACGGCCCTTTCACCCCATCGGCACACAGGGAGCGGATCACAGCTGCGCATAGAGAAGGAGGAATGAAGAGGGTTTGTGAGAGCGGGGGTGGGTCACGAGGTGGGAGCATGTTTGGACCCTGAGGTGAGGCTGAAGCATGCAAATGAGGAGGGAAGTTACGAATCCATGTAGGAGATGTATGCTATGCGGGTCGACTCTCCCTCCTCCTCTCCCCCCCACACTCACTTGTGAAGGACGTCTGTGGGTCCACCCCCATGCGCTCGCACACCCACACAACCAAACGCTTGTAAGCTGTAAATCCCACCCACCACCACCCCTCCCCCCCCCCTCCCAACACTCACTGGTAAACGATGCCTGTGGGTCCACCCCATGTGCTCGCAGATCCACACAAACCACGCCACCATGCGCTTGTAAGCTGTAAATCCCACCCAACCCAAACCACCCCCCCCCACCCCTCCTCCCAACACTCACTGGTAAACGACGTCTGTGGGTCCACCCCCATGCGCTTGCAGACCCACACAAACCACGCCACCCCGACTGCCACGTGTGCCACCTCCTCCTGGGCTATCTTGGCCACCACCGCTGCACTCCTGTTATCTCCCAGCCCTACCAGCCGCTCCACCAGCCGCGGCCCCGCGTCCAACCCCCGTGCTTCCTGTTGCAAGGGATGGAGCAAGTGTGATGAGGTGATGTTTGATGCGAGTGCTGAGGAGAATGAAGGGTGCACATCCAAGCCAGCCCTCCTCTGTTGATCCCTCCTCCTGCCACCTCCTCCTGTGCTATCTTGGCCACCAGCGCGGCGCTCCTGCTATCGCCCAGCCCCACCAGACGTGGCCCCGCGTCCAGCCCCCTCGCTTCCTGTTGGCAGGGATGCATGAAAGGAGGGTGAAAGGAAGGAGCATGGAAGGAGCATGGAAGGAAGTGGAAAAGGATGCATGAAAGAAGGGTTTTAAACGGCAAGTGGACGCTTGCTGCACTCCTGTTGTCACCCAGCCCCACCAGCCTCTCCACCAGCCGTGGCCCCGCGTCCAACCCACGTGCTTCCTGTTGCGATGGATAGATGGACAGAAGGTCGACACAAGGACAAGGGGATGAGGATGGAAATGTGTTGCAGCGCGTGTTTTTTGAGAATTCTCAAAAAACACGTGCTGCAACACAATTTTAGCCGTCTCCTCTTTTGGCTCTCCTCTCTCAACCTCCTCCTGTGCTATCTTGGCCACCAGCGCTGCACTCCTGTTGTCTCCCAGCCCCACCAGCCTCTCCACCAGCCGTGGCCCCGCGTCCAGCCCCTGTGCTTCCTGTTGGGATAGACAGAGGGTGAAAGGAGGAGGAGATGGAACGTGATGAGGCTCTTTGTTAGAAGAGTGACAGAGAAATTTTAGAACCGACTTGAACAGCAAACGGACCTCCTCTTTCGACCTCCTCTCCCACTTGCTTCCTCTCCTCCACTCCTCTCCTCCTTTCATTCTCTCCTACATTCCTCTTCTCCTCCTCTCCTCCTCTCCTCCTCTCCTCCTCTCCTCCTCTCCTCCTCTCCTCCGTTTTCGACCTCTCTCTCTCCTCTCCTCATCCCTGTTGCTGCTACCCACGTGGTCAATCTACCAATTAACAACCTCTACGTGATGACCCATAAGTGCAGCATGATTGGCCAGTACCAATGACTTCACGAGTTGATCCCTGGGTGCATCGTGATTGGCCAGCGGTACCTGCACCATGGGAATGACTGCCAGCCTGTCTTGCACGTGATTGGCCGACTTCTCACAGTCCATCCACAGCAGGTTGTGAGCTGGCATGTCCCCGTAGCTGTAAATGAGTGGGGGGGGGGGGAGTTGAGGGGGTGTTGAGGGGGAGATGGGAGAAAAGTGAGTTGGGGGAGACATGGAAAGAGTTGGGTAGGGGCAGTGACAACAATGTGAGAGATTTTAGGCCATGATTTATAGGAGTATGTATAACATTGTTGCAAGAGTGCCCCACATCCCACCAGCACCGCACCCTGCACCGCACCCCACCTGCATGCACCGCATCCCACCTGTGCCCCATCTCTTCCAGTCGCTGCAAGCACCACGCCAGGTGTCTGCTCTCATCATCTGCCACGTGTACAAAGTCCAGAAAGAACTGACGTGGAAGCTTCCACTTTTGCCCCAAACTCTCCCTTCCCCCCTCCTCCTCTCTATCCCTCTCACCCCCTCCACTCCACACCCTCTCCCCCTCCCCCTCCCCCTCCTCCCCCTCCTCCCCCTCCTCCCCCTCCTCCCCCTCCGCCCCTAGAGCGGAAAATCTGACAACGGTGTCCCATGCCAGGTCAATGGCGTTCAATTCCACGTGGGCTAGGTTGTGCAGCATGTGCGCGGGCCAGGGTAAGGGGGAGGACGGGCCGGGCTTGGGGATTGAACGCGGGTGAACCTAACAAGGGGTGGGGAACGATGGGGAGCGGTGGAAAAGGGTGGGGGAGGTGGGCCAGGTCAATGGCGTTTAATTCCACGTGGGCTGGGTTATGCAGCATGTGTGTTGGCCAGGGTAACGGGGAGGAGGGGCCGGGTTTCGGAATTGCCCACAGGTGAAGCTGGAGAGGGGGGGTGGTGCAGTTGGGGGCAGTGGGGAGAGGTGGGGAGGGTTGGAAGGGGGTTGAAAATGGCGTTCAATTCCACATGGGCTGGGTTGTGCAGCATGTGTGCTGGCCAGGGTAACGGGGAGGAGGGGCCGGGCTTGGGAATTGCCCGCGGGTGAACCTGGAGAGGGGGGTCGGTGCAGTAGGGAGCAGTGGGGAGAGGTGGGGAGGGGTGGAAGGGGGTTGAAAATGGCGTTCAGTTCCACGTGGGCTAGGTTGTGCAGCATGTGCGCGGGCCATGGTAAAGGGGGGTAGGGGCCGGGTTTCGGAATTGCCCGCTTGTGAAGCTGGAGAGAGGGGGCGGTGCAGTAGGGAGCAGTGGGGAGAGGTGGGGAGGGGTGGAAGAGAGTGGATAATGGCGTTCAGTTCCACGTGGGCTAGGTAGCATGTGCGCTGGCCAGGGTAATGGGGAGGACGGGCCTGGCTTGGGTATTGCCCGCGGGTGAACCTAGAAAGGGGTGGGAAGTGATGAGGAGGGGTGCGGAGGGGGGGGGAACGGTTAGGAGGGTTGGACGGGGGTGGGGAAGGGGACAGTTCCACGTGGGCTAGGTCATGCAGCATATGTGCTGGCCATGATAAGGGGGACGAGGGGCCGGGCTTGGGGATTGCCCACGGGTGAACCTGGAGAGGGGTGGGGTGCGGTGGAGAGGGTAGGTGATCGGTGAAGAGCGGAGCGGAAGGGTTGGGGAGGGTTGGGAAGGGGATGGGGAAAGGGAATGCAGAAGGTTAATGTTTCCCATTTCCATATCGCTTTTCTCCCAACTCCCCATTTCCCCCACTTCCCCCTTTCTCACCTCCTCCCGCGCTCTCGACAACCCACCCCCCCCTCTTCCCCCGGCATCCCCCCCCGCGCTTACCAGCTCTGGTAGCGCCGGCCGCGCGGGTTTCAAAGGGGCAATCGCCACGCCAACCGCCGCGGCCGTCCCCGCCGCCGCCTCCGCCGCTGCTTTGCTGGCCGCATCCGCGTCGCCTGCGGCCGCCGCGCCGCCGGCGAGCAAGCGGTGCGCAGCGTGCGTGATGGCGATCTTAACGCGCGGGTCGGGCGACTCGAGCACCATTCGACCACACTCCGCCAGCGTGGCAGGCAGCGCGATCCGATCCCATGCAATCGTCCCACCGCCACCGTGGGCTTTAATCGCCTCATTGTCCCCGGAGTTTTCCTCACCGGCCGGGGAATCAGTGGAACTGTCAGAGGCTGTTGGGGGATCGCACGAGCCCTTGGGTCCCCAGAACGTGTCTGTGCGGATCGCTGCGCTTCGCCACGCTCCCAGACCCACCCATTTCCGCGGCTCATCTAGAATTGTCTGATCGTTCTCTTCGTGCTCATGTACCGAATAATGAACGGTGGATATGTCAAGGTTCCGCTGTGTGGCTCGCTCATGCTGCTGGATCTTCCCAGGACGTTCAGATGGAGACTTTCCATTCTCACGCTGTGTTTTTGGGAGATTCTTGACACTCTTACGAGATTCAAGTTCGTGGGAAATATTACTCTCGCTTAGATGAGAAAATAAGGCTACTATGGACCTTGATTGGCCGAATGTTGTTGAATGGCCTGAGACGACATTACAACTACTATTTTGAAAAAGCCTGCGGCGGCAAGCACGCCTCGACGCGAACGTTGCGAGCGGTCGTGCAGGCTTGACGCTGACGTGGCGAACGACTGAGAGCAAGCACGTCGGACACGTAATGCGCAAGGGAACGAAATGGAGCGCCATTTGTGTAGGGCGGAGGCAAATGTGGTCTGATAAGTAGGGTCCGAACAAGATTCCTCATTACGGTGGGAACCAATACAAGCATGTGTGAAACGTGTACGTCAAACAATGAGGTTGATTTTTGGCCAACGGAAGCCTCTCTATATTGCTAGCACATGCCACCTAGCAAGCAGAATACAGTCAGCTAAAGAGTCCCACACCCAGCAGCAAGAAGCACCGCCACAGCAGCACACCTCGACTCATCTGCTGCACACCATGCACTCCTAATCAGCAGCCTCGCTGCTCCTTTCCAATCATGTCTCATCAATGTCTTCACAACATTATCCAGCCAAGCAGTTCTATCAGCATCAAGGTGCATGCTGGTAAGAAGCACATCAACAAGGCCCTTTTGAACGTCACAGCAGAACCTGCTGGTGTCAATGGCAAAACCTGATGTCAATTTGGTTTCCAGCAGCCTCCTCACGCTGATCTCCAGCAGTTGGCTGATCTGAGGGCCTGACAGGCACGCAGAACCAGAATATACCTGCAAGCAACATCGACACTGAAGCATGATATTGTTCCATCAGAAAATATTAACGGTTGTATGCGTTTCCGACCACATGGCAAGAATCTCTAGGACGTGCGGGTCTTCAGAACTTACCTCATGAACATCAGCATGAATCAGATTGAAATCGGACGAGACGACAGCTGAATCCTGATCCATGTTGTACCCAGCACCGACAGCACGGTAGCCAGCAGTGCTGTCGTAAGCACACGCGTGCCAGCCTTCAGTCCTCGACAGATACTGAGCCGTGCTCCTAAGGCACTTTGGCTCAGCGCCGTTGGTAGTTTGCCTTGCTTCTTGCACTTGAGTCGCTAATATGTTCAACCCGCCTCTATACCTGAACACTCCAGCTTGATTACTGAATCCGGCCTCGGCATCTGAGCGGCTCGTTCCAGTAATTCCTGAGACGTCATCTTTAAAGATGAGAATACCGTGACGCGCTTCCGGGGGTTGGACCTCGTGAAATTCACCATTAATTTGATCTGGCGTGACATCTGCAGCCAACACTGGATTCTGAACAAGGAACACGCTCCAAAGAACAAATGGCACGAAACAGCAAATCGGCATACTTTCGGAATTTAATTTGAAAAAGAACTCTCCGGAAGAGTCACGAGCTATCACGGGACAACCTTAACCGCAAAATGAATGGTCAGTCCCGCAGGTGAGCACCAGCAGCGGGACGACGTACCTGTAGCGAGACGAGTTCATGTGGTTTCGAGCTCCATCATTGGGAAGTTCGTAAAAGAATGTGCTTTCCCAGCCTCAAATCGGATATCTCGAGGTAAGTGGAGCCATGACGAACGAAATCACACAGATGGCGAGCATGCAGGGAGGCGCGCATTTGAGGTGGGAATGCAGGCTCTGAGTGAATACGCGTACTGAGTAAACAAATTTATGCTGGTGCATGTGCGACACGTGCCAGTGGTCTAGTGGTAGAATAGCACCCTGCCATGCATCTCGGTGCAGACCCGGGTTCGATTCCCGGCTGGCACAACACTTTTCTTTCCCCGACCATATTGTGGAGGGGCCCACATTTTTCCATTGCCCGTTCCCCAACCCACCCACGTGCGAACATCGTCCGCCCTTCGCCGTCGCGCCGCACCCGATTCGGGTTCCATTTCAATTTCCGACAACTGCCTCCTGATTTCACGTCGTGCGTTCACAGGGTCGCCTTGACGCTCGGGGGGGAGGAGCGAGTTTTGTGTTGGAAAGCAGTCCCCCCTCAAGCGCGCACGCAGCACAGCACACCGAGCACAGCTTGTCCTTGGCACCCGACCCGAGTCCCTCCGAAACGACGAATGCGGACGGCAGTTCGTTTGCCGAAGCAGCCTCCGTATTCCGAAAAAAAGGCTATCCGTCTCGCGTTCACCAAATGCCAGACGCGGAGAGAGAATCACAGTTGAGTTTATACCAATTGACAAGTCGTTTGTAATTGAGTTACTCTCCCCGTTTGCTCAGTCAAGAAATTATCACTACCTCGTGTCCGATCAAAGGCTCTGAAGGTCCCGAAAGGTCCCTACGAAATAGTCGAAGATCTATGGTGAAATACTTGTAGTGAAGTGCATTTCCTTGACCTGACTGTCCTTTCCAGCACGATAGCGCTTCGAAACATCCCCATACAACAGATCTCTCCACGTTGAGGAGTCGGCAATACCTCTTCCACCGACGATCCCCCTCCAGCGATACCAGCATAATTCAGCCGTCTGTCGGCCATTCCCTGTTTGCGGACTCGGGCCGACTGTCGCCGTGCTACTAGGCCGCCTAGAAGTAGCCATGCAACGCACTGTGCTACTCGTTCTTCTCGTGCTTCTGGTGGCGCCGTGTTTCACGGCGCGGGTCGCGGCGTCGTCGTGCATCACGGCGTGCACGGTGCCGGGGACGGAATACGCCAACGCCAAATGCGTCAAGCACTGCACGGTACGTCGAGTGTTGCGCATTGCGTCAAGCATTGCATTTTGCGTTCAGCTTTGCAAAGTAAGGCCGCATAAGGAGGTGAGTTTGGGTCGACTCAAGAGTCACCTCGAGAAATTTTGTACTGCATGTTCCGCGATGCACGGTGAGCCTACTCAAGCGTCGCCTTTAGCACTGGCAGCGCGAAGGGTGATGAGTATCCGTCACAGGCGATGCGGGAGCGTATCCGTCAACAATGTTTTCTCTGAGCATGCGTGCCCCATGTGATTGTAAATTTTTTTTTGAGACGTCTCTAAACAAACCTACAATCGGCCGCTTCGAGATCGCCCCTTAGTGCACGCTGACCTTGCGTGCGCCATGCGTGCGCCGTGCGTGCACGGTACCTATACTCTTGACGTTTCCGTGCGCCATGTCCGTGCATTCTGTTCCAGGCTATACGTCCCATCCCTCTCTCTCACTGCCCTGCCGCTCGCCGCTGCTGTTCCGCTCATGCAAACTCTGATAACGTTCCGTTCATTGCGAACGTACTTCGCGGCTGTGTGGTCTGTTCTCACTGCGTGTCTCTTCTCGTTCGCGTTCTGCGTGTATCGTTCTCCTCGATGGGGTTTTTTGTGAATCGGTTGAATATTCGTTTCATCAAATATCATCAACTACTCTCAGCATCCCCGTTTTCCACCTTTTCCCCCTCTTGCGTTCCGACGACTAACAGGCATGCGTGGCAGATACACCCCCATCTTGTAACGCGTATTTCAGACCCGCCTGGAGCACCTCGTGTAAGTTACCCTTGTCTCCCAACAACATAGACCACGCTTAGCGCATAGCATCCGTTGTCTGCTCCTCCTCTTCACCTAGAAGCTTCCTCATATCATCATTCTCCACCCACCTCCTAACAGCTCCATCGTTTCTCGTTCTCACCATTCTCCACCCCCTCACTTCCATTACCCTGTCTCGCCCCCTCTCCCGGACCTTTCAGACCGTTACATTCGGTTCGAGTGCGCGACGAGCTGTCCGCCCACTCTCGCCTGGTCGCAGTACCTGCTGGTTACTGTCGCGATTCTCTTCGTTTCCGTCGCCGTCGGCGTCACCTTCTATGCGTGCATAACCATGAGGGTTCGCTGACGTGCGCTTGTCAGGGAACCCGTCCACTTAGACACCTCCTCCTGCAAACCCTACTTCTCCAACCGTTCTTACACAAGACAAGCGGTCGCTTGTTGGCGCGATTCTTACAGAAAACGGGCACTCGCTAGTTCGCATGCCGGGGTATCATTACAGAGAGGGCGTTGGGCAAAGGAGCTTTGGTGCAGCTTGGCTCTTGGAATTGAGCGATTCTACCAAGGTTGACTCTTGGCCATCTTGTTGTTTCACGCTGCTTGATTACTGTGGGTTGGTGTGGGATTGTACGTGGTTGCAAGTCTTGTATAGTAAAAGTTTCACTAATAAGTGGAAGGTAATACGGTAAGTGAAGGTTCCAATGTCAGCAAGAAGATTAGGAAACGAGAGCACTTTCCATTCTCGAACCCATCAGCAGCAGCCAAGCTGTTGGACAATACCCGCGACCCTGAGACTCCTCCCATGCCGTCCTGCCTGGAAATTACCCTCTTCTATGAGACTCACTGCGTCGACTACTGTACTCTTCCCCCCTTTGCGAACCGAGACTGTCAGACTCAAAACCTTCTAGTAGTCGCGTTGGAATTTACCAGCTATAGTGCTGTTCAACGTTGTACCAACGGCGAATGAAATGAACACAGGAACCTGGGAGTTCCTTCCGCGGAAATAGGTCGTCTGGACCGGAAGAACACTGCTTAGCACCGAGCCACTCATCGTGAAAGTCGGAGGACCACGTCTTGGCGAAATGTTGTACCACTTTCCCGAAAGGTCGACGAGAACTTTTGGGCTGGTAACCAGCGGGTCGCAGGGGTCTGTGGAGTAGATGGTCATCTTCGCAGGAGGCACAGCGACACCCTGGACCATGAGGCCGTAACGAATTTCGTTCGTTCCAGTGGTTCTGCCAAGAGAAAACAGCGCGGAATGAGGACGTAGAAGGAGTAAAGAGGCGAGGTTAGGGACGTCTACGTGTAAGGACAGCGCAGCGGCGACGCAATTAAGACGCTTCCGCGGTTCTTACTGTGTGGAGAGGACGTCAATCATCGCGGCTCCGCGAATGGGAGCCCAGCCGATGCACGGCCGCAAGTTGGTCTCGTAGCGCGCCAATGGCGACGGCCGCCAACGACCGCCTCCCCTTCCATAATCACCGCCACCCCTTCCACTATCTCCACCACCCTTTTGGCTGTCGTCGCGGCCCGCTGGGTGGGCTAGGGCGAGCGCACTGGCGAGAAGAATCGCGACGGCGAAAACCAAGAACCGTGCCATTTGAGAAGTTTGCTGCTGGGAGAGCTAACTACGAGGCGAATGAGCAAATGAAGCGGTTAGAATCTTGGATGGTGAGCGCAGGGCAATAAGCTAGGATGTTGTTTGAAGAAAACACAGGATGGGGGTAATTTTATGGGGAGGCTGGACTAGAAGCTTACGGTATGCGGGTGGGTGGGAGAGACGCGGATTGCTGGAATCGCCACGAGTCACGACGGAAAGGAAGAGGCGGTGGGGGATCAAGAAACAAGAGGGATCGCGAAGCAGAAACAGCTGGCGAATTGCACATGGCGAAAATATGCTGTCGATCTGCTGGCGAAGGGTGTGCAACGAGGGGGGGTGTTTCCTGACGCATGGTTGTCCACGAAACGCAAGAACAGCTGTGGTGACGAACGAAATCTTTGAAGATAATGTGGCGAAACAGAAACTCGCCCCGCCCAACACATGTGGGCTTGAACATGCCAAATCGATCTTCGCGAAAGCTGGATACAACTTGGTAGCCAGGATGTGATTTTCTTGCGACAAAGAAGCAGCGGTGTGCCGTTGAAAACGTCTGACCAGGTTTGGGCTTGTTTGTGGGCCAGGGAACAGCTGACACACGAATGTGGTTTGTTGGAAGGGTGTTGATGGCTGCTGGGTGTTGGTGGAGAACCCGAATCGCATGGCGTGTGTCAGGCAGAACCTGTGGCTGGCTTGTCACCACAGCCAATGAGGGGCACGTGCTTGGGGGGGGGAACACATCACACACCACCATATCTGTTGCTTCCTTAGAGAAAAAATCACGACAAACAACATTTACAACAAATGTATGTGGTTGCGATCTTTTCAATAGTTATCACATTGGCCTTTCGTTTTCAACGTCAATGAACATATCGTTTACTATACAGATATACCAGCATTTTCCATTTCTAAGCGTTTTGTCAGGATTCAAGGCATTTTTATTTATAATATATATAATGTAACGAAATTCACCAGCTGAATCATACGCAATTAATTAAAAAACATTTCAAAAATCAATCAAATTGGTCGCTAATATCATGCACAAACCTTTCAAAACTACTTGTTGCGCATAAATTTACCAGCAACGGTGCCGTTACCCGCAGTGGTGTTAATGAACATCATCACATAAAGGGGCTGCATCTTCCAGACCTTGCCCCAGGCATTACCCTTGGGAGCACCAGCTGGGCGAGGCTGCGGCAGAGCGGTCTCATTCACGGTGTTGCTCAGAGTGTACACCTGGGGAGGGTTTCTGTTCCTCCTCGAGGGTTGCTGGGGCGCGTTCACCCAGGTTCCGTTCAGGTCAAGTACCAATTTCTGCTCAACAAGCGGATCGCACGGATCGGTGCTGTAGATACCCTGGACAGTGGGCGCCTCGGAGGTTCCGGAGATAAGGAGGCCGAACGTCATGGAGTTGGTTGTGTTGTCCTCAGTAGAGAGGACGTTGGCGACAATGGATCCGCGGACGAATGGAAGGGGCTTGCATGGCTGCACGGTTCCCATATAGCGAGCTGCATTGAAGCATACAAGGAGAAACGGATGGAACAGAACCAACAATCAAAGGCATTTGAGTACAGTATAACGAATTTGTAACCCAACAGATAAGGATGAAAAGCCCAACAGAAAGCCGCGTGGACACTCACCAAGCACAACAGGCTTGAATGGCTTCTTGGGCTTGGGAGGAGGGCCTCCTCCAGTCTTGGGAGGGGGACCTCCTCCGGGCTTGCCACTGCTGCCTGTGCTTCCGGTACTTCCGGTACTCCCAGTGCTACCTGTGCTGCCAGTGCTGCCTGTGCTGCCTGTGCTGCCGGTGCTGCCCTTGTCAGGTCCTTTGCCAGGTGGTGGGCCCGCCTCAGCTCCTGGAAAATAGAAAGAAAAACAGTAAAACGACGCAACGACTCCGTTAGTCGCTGGGCTAGAGATCGGAGGCAGGATGCTAGTGTCCATCCGAGCAATGATGGGGCAACTAACGTACTACTGCTGTGAAAGCTGAAAATGTTGCGTACTTAGGAGCAGGAGGGCGAAGCATGCGAGGACGATGGTAAGTCGCGCCATGGGTGACTGGATGCTGGCAAGTCCTTGGAGTGATTACTGATTGTGCGTGTGTTGGAGTGAGCTGGGAGGTGAGGTAGGATGATGCTTTGTAGATCGGAGTGGGAGGTCCTCATAAACTCCTTTATGGCGACACGGTGTACATTTGTTTGGCGCGGGTTGAAGAATTCCTGCTTTCGCGCTGGACTTCCACTCCACACCTGAGCGACCTGAAGTGCAGCAGCGGTCGGTGCGTTACAGTCCGGTACTGTAGTGCAATGCTGCTGGCGCAACGAGACAGCCACGACGCGTCGCACACATCTGCCGCTGTTGATGGTTTGTGAATCACCGGTACTTTCCGCACCCATTGAAAGCAAGGGATGTAACGACATCCTCCAGCACTACTATCGCGGGGAAAAGAAGCGGTCTCTACCCTTGCGTGAAGCAAGAGCACGGTCCGCCAGATACACCCTGCCCTAACTCTTATGCCCAGGCTACCCTCCTACTGTACATGAGAACATGAGACAACATGAGAAAGTGGCCATTTGTCGGTAACAGAGACTCTGGATCTGGCTTCCTACCGACTTGTTCCCTAACTCTTCAATTCCCACCCTAAAGCTTCTCCAAAAGGTAGGTAAGAACGGGGTGAGGAGAACTCCTGTGTCAAAACACATCCAACCCGTTGCAGAGACGATTTTGAGGGGTTGAACCAGCGCCTCCGCTCTCCGACCCGACCCAAGGGTTTTTTAGGATCCCAGGTGACAGCACGTGACTGACAGCACAGTACAGTACTGCAATATTTCTGTGAAACTGCCGTGAAGGTGGAAACTGCCTACTCCCCTAGTGGGCAATGTTGTGCCCCCTGTCCCTTATGCCACGCTGGAGCTTGTTCGGGTAACGCTGTTCACGTCCCCAAACACCTCCCCCCACCGACAATCTTTTGTTACTGTAGCAGAGCAGAGCATATTCCTCCCGGGAGCCAATCATCGAGCCCGCTGATACGCGAAAAGGCACGTGGCAAGATGGTAACCAGATCATCTTGTGCTCGCCTTCGTCATCACCATAATCCCTGGTTGGTCACGTCTCCCCCAACCAGGCCACAACAAACTTCACCTGCGGATTCTCCAAGTGGATACTACAACATTTCAACCGAGCTGTACACAGTACGTACCATGTACAACATAGCTAATCCAAAACTGGATGTGCTGGTATCCGTTACAGAACGTTTTCATAGGAATAAAATACGTGGTATATTCACAATATGTTAGAAATGCCGGTAGAGCCTCAAAACGATTCCTCGTGCAAATGCACTTACGTCCAATAGTTTGAATTGTACTCAAAAGTTAAAAAACGAGGATCGTTGTTTAATGAGTGTAGTATTAGATCTCACCACCATTTCTGCAATTCTCAAATATTTTTGCTGGCCTTGATATTTTCTCAATGACAAGCACATTCGTCAGACTCTTTCTAATGTATCACATTAGGGTTATTTTTTTTATACATATACATATGCATATTAACTATTTTTTTCGCGTCATGGACAGAAATTAGAAGCACAGCAGCAGTGGACTTGTTAATCCCAGTTGGGCGTGAGCACAAATAAGGTGAACTCGTGTTCAGACAGTATAATGTAAACCAGGTATAGTAGGAAGGCATTAAAAGACTATTGTACAAAGCCATAACCCAATCTAGTTCTACTTGTTGCGCATGAACTTGCCAGCAACAGTGCCGTTACCCGCTGTGGTGTTAACAAAGATCATCACATAAAGCGGCTGCATCTTCCAAACCTTGCCCCAGGCGTTGCCTTTCGGAGCACCCTCAGGGCGAGGCTGCGGCAAAGCGGTCTCATTCGCAGTGTTGCTCAGAGTGTACACCTGAGGGGGGCTCGCGTTTCTCCTCGAGGCTTTCTGGGGCGCGTTCACCCAAGTTCCGTTCAGGTCAAGTACCAACTTCTGCTCGACAAGCGGATCGCACGGATCGGTGCTGTAGATACCCTGGACGGTGGGCGCCTCGGAGGTTCCGGAGATGAGGAGGCCGTATGTCATGGAATTAGTTGTGTTGTCCTCGGTCGAAAGAACGTTGGCGACGATGGATCCGCGCACGAAAGGAAGGGGCTTGCATGGGTGTACCGTTCCCATATAGCGAGCTGCAGGGAGAAACCAGATAAGTATGGAAGGGAAAAAGAAGGATTTCAGGGAGAAACCAGATAATGAGTTGACGTTGCCGCCGCATTGTGTGGTGTGGTAGACGCAATCGGCTGACGGATGAAACGTAAGAAGCCGAACGCGCGGACACTCACCGAGCACAGTGGGCTTGAAGGGCTTCTTTGGGGGACCGCCGCCACCCCCGGGCTTGCCGCCGCCGTTACCTCCGCCGGGTTTGCCGCCGCCGCCGTTATCTCCACCGGGCTTGCCGCCGCCGCCGGTAGTTCCACCGGTAGTTCCACCGGTAGTTCCGCCGGAAGTTCCACCGGAACCTCCGCCTTGATTGTCGCCGCCTTGACCTTTGCCATTCCCATTGCCATTGCCTCCGTTGTCGGGACCTTTGCCCGGTGGTGGTCCCTTTGACTCAGCTCCTGAAAAAGGAAAGAAAAAGTACCCACAGGAAATGTGTGTCGCATTTAGAGAATTTAGAGAAAATGTTGTCGGTGTCTATTTTTAAAATATGTACACGTTGGTGGACGACAATTGACATCATCCCTGTCAAGTATAAATGAGAATACGCACTTAGGAGAAGGAGGGCGATGCACACGAGGATGATTGTAAGTCGGGCCATGGTAGACTTCAACGGAGACGAAACCTAGGATCTAAGACTTGAAGGTGAGAGTGTTTGTGCTGGAGTGTCCGACTCAGGGTAAATATGTGAGGGAGAGAGGTGGGTATTTATCCGATGTGAGGTCGGAGGCTATGACGTGGTTGTTGGATTGGTCTTCGTCTGGGTTGGTGAGGCACTGGGCTTTGCTCGGCTGCTACCACCTGACCTGGGGGCTTCTATGGTGTTTTGATGTACTGTAGTGGAGCAATGCTGCTCGCACAAGCCTCACGACGCCCAATTCACATCGCGTCGCGCATTTCCCCCTTGCTGCTGAGAACAAAGCTTTGAAACGGGAAAGGAAGGTATGGAATAAATGTTTGAATTTCTGTAGTTCGCTTTTATCAGCAATATGCCAAACTTTGCGAATTACGACATCAAAACTCCGGAATTTTCAAAGCATCCATTGTCCACTTCGGGTCGGAATGGCACCCGAAAGTTTTCTCTAGCTGTCGTGGATGTTCGGGGCTGGTCGGTCAGTAACGATTAGAAGGTGGCCTTTTGTCGCTGTTCATGAAACCTTTCTTGCAACCTGCCGTTGAGCAATTTACACACCACAATTTGCCCTAAAATGGCCCACTGTACTCTCGCGAGCAGAACTAAGCAGCCTGCCTCTCTGCTTATGTAAAAAGTCAAACAGCATCGGCCGTTACAGTGTCCATGTGTCCAGATGGAAAGTGGGTGTAGTGGGCCATGTGGAGCTCCCTGTCCATTATCGCACCATAAATCGCGCACTTCATCTGAATTTAATCAGGTCGTTTCTTCGGTTACGGCTCAGCAGCACAGAACAGCATTCAGGTGCAACTACTCTGTACACCCTGAAACTGTAGACCTGGAATGCTTTTGGAAACCTGTAGTGCTCCGTCAAAAGCAGCTTCTGGAATCGCTCATGTGGTGACTTGATTTGTCGCTTTTATAAATATTTATATATAAATATCGAAGCAGCATGGAGGAGTCCAATGAGATGCTTATGATTTCTTTTTGTATCCAAAATAACCAGCTGTTTAAATCTATGCAACCTATGTTTGTGGCTCTACTTTGTAGTGTCAAACAATGGTACAATTGCTTTCCCGTTGTCTTCCAATTGCATGAGTCTGTAAATATGGCACATTTCTTGCCTTGAAGGACCACATGTGTCAATCAGGGCATAGAGGAAAGACAGATGCACACAAAGCAACTCAATCGGTGCGATCTTTGCAACATTATTATAACTCTACAATTACCACAGTTATGACAAGATAATCCACCTAAAGCCTGCATCACATCTTCGAGGATCTGGTTCAAATGCTTATCATTGGTGACCCTTCAAGGCTAGAATGCAGAGCCTTTGCTAGGATTTCAAACATCCTGAGGCCTCATGGCAGATTTTCCATAATGGTAAAAATGTCCATTTTCGAAGGCAAAATCTCATTAGCATCCTGAATTTTCAACGCACCTGTTGATCTGTATCTTGTCTTGTCAGAGTAATTTCGTTAAAGAGCCCTGATTGATCGTCTCGTGCCTTGACCTGCCAGCCCACAATGTGAGTGCCATCCACAATGCTTAAGTGGTTGGCCATTTGACGTGGCATTGGAAGATTATTGAAGGAGAACAACACTTCCCTCCTCCAACCCCCTTTCCCCTCTCTCCCGTGTCCCATCCACTCCTACTCCCCCCTCCCCTTCTCCCACGTGACCCATCCACTCATACTCACCCCTCCCCTCCCCCTTCCCTTTGTATACACGTCAGGGCACTACTCGATGCTCATCCCTGGCGTATTTGGGCAAAAGGCTACGACCTTCTTGAAAAATCAGGGCAAAACAACGCAAGTAGCTTGCAGTTACATAGTGAAATTTAGCATTATTATGAAATCAGGGTAATTCGAATGTTTTACCCTGATATCAGGGACCTTGTTGGAATGCTACACTATTAATATTGACATATTTGAGTATAATGGCAATGGGCTATTTGATCGTAAAACCCTGAATCTCAGCCACTGGTCCACTTGGATAACAGCGGGTGGGTGCGCTCATAACCCGCAAGGCTAGCAAGCAAGTAGGTCAATCTTATGATTAACCCTGGTGCAGGTTTGCTCGCACCCCCCCTCATAAAAATGCCATAGGGCATGACAGCGCGACAACAACATGGGCGCCATCGTGTGTACACATGGGGACTTGAGCCATGTATGCTTTGTCATTATGGCATCTTTGATCCCATCCATTAGACAATGTTCC